ACGAACCCAACTGTCGATATAACATTATTGCTTTAAGAGGCTTAAGCAACCATTACGTTTTTAGAATAAATTTCATCTAAAAACATGCAAGAAAAAGCGCCAGTCTACATATGTTGGAATCTTTTTCACTTAGAAGATATTGGAAATTGATTTCATTGAATTCTTCAAACTAATCTATTTCTGATTACTTCGTTACCATGGTTTCGCCGCATTTTAATTAATTATGATGAATTCACAAATAGCATGGTTATACACTGAAGGACTGATTACAAACATAACAATTCGAACACTCACTCACATTGTATACTGTTTACAATGGCGGCCTTTGTGTTTTCACCATGACCTTGACCTTATATGATCAATCATTGAGATGTGTGCCACTGACATTAAAGATTTGACAATAAATGCCCTTGGTAATTTTGGATGTCGAAAATTTGAGGAAATTCAGTCTACTTATAGACAGACGATCCGCAGACGTATGGCGCCAAGTAGGGGTGGACTTAAAACACGATCACTATTGAGGAAGTATGACCTTTTGCGATTGCAGATCGATATGATAAAATATTGACGTAATTGTGTGATAACTAATTACCATGATTACTGCGAGGGATGCTTTGATGGTTAAAACCAACTAACTAAAGCACAGATAGTGCATTGTGCCGAGGTGTCCTTCACTGATGTTTGTCTATCGTCTTGACATTAATCTAATGAAATCACAAAGACTGACACTAAATTCTGTTTTACAACTATGAGTAATGTTGTACATGTGTTACGTATCATGACACAGGTAGGACAGAGAGCTTGACACTGCGGGGATAGTCTGATTAAAATTTAACGGCAACTGTGATAAACAGTGCACGGTGACTAAGAGGCTTGACTCAGAGTATAGCTGTCCCTATATGGTTAGACAGGAGATATATTGATTGACAGCTCCTACCTATATAGATTATCCCGACCCTGATTAACAAGATACGTGACCTACGACAGCGATGACCTAACGGCGTGAGCAATGGTGATGACGAAGGTATTGCTGATACCGGTGTAACTGACCCGACTACGCGCGGATCGTATGCACAAGATCTACTTGTATTCTAGTAAAGAACATGAAAATCTATCAAACTGTAAATCATAAATACCTAATGTATACACCTGTACACAGACACCTGATGTATACACCTGTACACCGACACCTGATGTATACACCTGTACATGGACACCTGTACATAAACACCTGATGTATACACCTGTACACCGACACCTGATGTATGCACCTGTACATGGACACCTGTACATAAACACCTGATGTATACACCTGTACATGGACACCTGATGTATACACCTGTACATGGACACCTAATGTATACACCTGTACATAAACACCTGATGTATACACCTATACATGGACACCTGATGTATACACCTGTACACGGACACCTGATGTATGCACCTGTACATGGACAGCTAATGTATACACTTGTACATGGACACCTGATATATACATCTGTACATAAACACCTGATGTATACACCTGTACATGGACACCTGATGTATACACCTGTACATGGACACCTGATGTATACACCTGTACAAGAACACAATGTATACACCTGTACACAGACACCTAATGTATACACCTGTACATGGACACCTGATGTATACACCTGTACATGGACACCTGATGTATACACCTGTACAAGAACACAATGTATACACATGTACATGGATGCAATGTATACACCTGTACATGGACAACTGATGTATACACCTGTACACAGACACCTGATGTATACACCTGTACATGGACACCTGATGTAAACACCTATACATGGACATCTGATGTATACACCTGTACACAGACACCTGACGTATACACCTGCACATCTACACCTAATGTATACACCTGTATATAGACAGCTGGTGTATACACCTGTACACAGACACCTGACGTATACACCTGTACATCTACACCTAATGTATACACCTGTATATAGACAGCTGATGTATACACCTGTACATAAACACCTGATGTATACACCTGATGTTTAATGTACATAACATCTAATGTTTACTTTTGTATATGGTTGAATGATAAATACAGTTTTATGTAAATTCTTATTCCTGTTCTATAAATCAGATGTCAAATGAGATACCCCTGTAAAACCTTATATATTGATTGGAACACCCATTAATTATCAGTAAATTATTATCCATATACATGTAAATGAATGTCCCATAACACATTATTATTCTAGCTGTATGTTAAATCTTAGATATAATAATCTACCTGTTTGCCTTTCTCATTTACATAATTGTCTTTTAGTAAACTAAATAAAATAATGAATATTTCATATTTTGCATTACCTAGAAAAGAAATTTTATAAAAAAGATAATATTTTTTGTTACAGTGTGTTTACTTCCTTGTCCTAGCCAGGTTAATGGCTTCAAAACATGTAAACAAAAACCTTTATAGTCTGGTATCACTCAGACAATATACAGAACCTAAGGCTGTACAACAGGTAGGTTACCCGGTTTCCTTATATTTTCACATGTCAAGATTAAACGATTTGTATTCAATTGTGAATTTCAATTCAATTACGGTATATGTATCGAAATGCGTTTGGCAGGATTAAAGGGTGCGAAGGATTGTCATTTATATTCAGAATTTTGTCAAATCTGCTAGACAACAAATAGCGGTATCAGCTTTGAACAAAACACGAGGTCTACACAAATCATGCCAAGGACTCAATACAAATGAGTCTGTGTCGCTGACATTGACTATTTAACCAATACTTTAGCTGTAACAGGTTATAATTATACAAAATATTTAAAAGGATGTTAATTACTGGAAGATGATCACTCTTGACACATGGAAAAAGTCTGGTGTTTTCAAGTGTCACAGAATTATAACGTCTCCATCGGGTGATGTTCTATATAAACTGCACATAAACAGTGAGTTTAACTGTAAGAACTACCTTTAAACCTCCCACAAAGTATAATTCATTTTCTCAAAAGTTACAGGTTATATCAAGGTCATAACCTCTATACCCTAAAGTATCGAATGTTTTGATAACTGACATTGACACGACAATCATTTATCGCAATATCAAAATGTCCCTTTCCATCGAATTCTCAATAATTACAATTACATTGGGGATCGAAATATATAAAGGTTGAAATATTGAAAGATACTAGATCATATGTGTTTGTAATTCAAAGACTGATCTTTATCAAGATAGTTTTGAAGTCACCATTTTACACAAAAAGAATGCAGAATTTTACTTCTAAAACATTATCATCAAACATAAATTAATTGAAAGTTTTGGTCATTCTGTTTTATATCATGTGGTTAAACAGTGTTTGCAACAACAATTCTTTGCAGCTTAGTCGTTCAAAAGCTTTTCTACAATCAATTGTGACAAATTTTGAAATTCAAAACAGAGTAATTAATGACGGCAATCTTTAACATTCCATCAAACTAAATGACAAACCTTCCAGAACTCTTAAAATCATCTGTTATAAACTTCAAAGGTAAAATCAAATGCTCACAAGATACCATTTTGAAAACTGATCAGACTCGCAATCGTAAAGCCACTCGCTGTCTAATATTTCTTCAACTCACAAAATTATCCAAAAACTATCTTAAAATCCCTCACTCACAACTATCATGAAATCCCTCACCCACAACTATCTTAAAATCCCTCACCCATGACTATCATAAAATCCCTCACTCACCACTATCATAAAATCCCTTGCCCACAGCTATCTTAAAATCCCTGACCCACGACTTTCATAACATCTGTCACCCACAATTATCTTAAAATCCCTCGCCCACAACTATCATAAAATCCCTCGCCCACAACTATCATAAAATCCCTCACCCACAACTATCACAAAATCCCTCACCAACAACTATCATAAAATCCCTCACCAACAACTATCATAAAATCCTTCACCCACAACTATCTTAAAATCACTCATCCACAACTATCTAAAATCCTTCACGAACAACTATCCTAAAATCCTTCACCAACACCTATCATGAAATCCCTGTGTAATATTCCTCCCACTTCCAAAATTAAAATTATCCCACAACTATCATAAAGGCCCTTACCAAAACTAGGAATGAACTCAGGTTCCCGACAATCCTGAAACAATTCTGTTTAAAGTGCAACTTGTTAATACTTTGTATGTTTTATATCTTTTATTGCCAGGCAATTATTGAGATTACATTTTATTTTCTAAACCGAAAGACAGATTTTGTCCCCTTTAAGGTAAAAATATATTGGTTGCTTTCTCCTACAATTACACAGGATACCCATATTGTTTTGATAATAGACAGCACATTATTGCCCAGTTCAATATTTTCAATTAATTTTTATTTTCGATTTTTTGTTTGTTTTTTCTCTTTTCTATGTTCTTAATTTTGCAGGAAATAATTTAAATTTGTTTTCCAAGGACAAACTTTCCTTCACACTTCTAGATAAATCAATAAAACAAAATGAACTTGTACACAATATTTATTGTGAACTTCCTTGTGAACTTTTATCCTTTTATCTGTGAACATCTAAATCTAACTTTAGTACCCACAATCGCAATGAAAGTACATCCCCCACAAAAATGAATGATTTTAGAGTAAACAAACATTAGAGGATTGGCATCAAGGATGAACGTGACAAAGATCTACCTTCATGCTGGTAGAGGAGGTTAAGAAACTACAACAGGCCAACATACCATTAAGTTCTTTCTTACATGAGGAATAAATATCATGTGGTCCATTTTGATATGGAGAATAAAGAAGTTCCACATTTTCTCTCTGATATAAGAAATAAAGAAATAACTACTTGGTCCTTTCTTCTACAGGAAATACCATGTGATACTTTCTAGTATAGCAAATTAAAAAAATCCATCCCAAAAATACTGCAAATATTACACGTTCCCTTCTGGTACTCCATTGATGTTGATACAGAAATTTGTTACAAATGAGAACTAAAACTCATCAGCACTTTATACACCCTTTTATTTGAAAGATGTGTCCAAAGGGAGACAACTTCTGGCTCTAAAACATACCTGGTACACAAAAATTGTCCCAGTACATCATCATTTTTTGTAAAGAGTCTATAAAATCGCATTATGAAAATGAATATTAAGACAAAGCATGAAACTTTTTGCAGTAAATTGAATTCCCTTTTTCTTGGAAGAATTTTTTTGACAAGTCTAGTGGTGAATCAAGAATTATACACGACTGTAAAATAACTCGACTTTTTTCGGAAAAAACACAAATGTGAATTTTCAGTCAACACTGTATAAAGGAAGAATGATATATACCATGACATACAATCAACACTATACACCTTCTTTAGGTGTTGTTACAGGGATTATGTTTAATTTTCAGTACATCAACCATACATGATATAACTTTCAATACAGTGGAATCTTCTGGAATGTGAGTGGCAACATTGCTAGATATTTGACTAAAGAAATGATTTCTCATGACAGGGAAAATGTGCATTTTGTGTTATCCTCACAGACTCAGTACATACACATAACCTTTACCATTTGATAGAATTTATAATTACATTGTAGTCATTTCATGTATTTTAAAAAAATCTTCATCACAATTTTCAGCTTAATTTGATTGTAGTAATTATACTTGTGTTTTATGTAAAATTTTGTATGGCGTAGAGGTCCAATTGCAGTATAAATAATAACATTACACAACAACAAAACAAAACAATAACTGCAACATTGATCATCTACATCTTCATCTATATGTATGGCTGTTATTACCCTGATCACTGTACAAAGAAATTTCATTAGTATGGACATTTAACTCTAAAGATTTGACAAGAAGTGGAAGTTGTGTACTATTTTATTGATAGAGGAGAAGAATGTAGGAATATGATTTCTACGTCCTGAATTACATTTATCAAACAGACCTTACCATTTAAATAACATCTACCAATGTCAATCTACGAAATCTGTCGAGAGACATAATCATCAAACATCCACGCTGTTATAAGTGCAACAACACCACCCATTACATATCTTTATTGTAATTACATGTATGTAATATGATTGTGATTGACTAAAGATTCCCAATGTTTCCATTGTGATGATCTTCTTGTATACATTGAGATGTCATCAAAGAAATCAATGGAAAGTGAGAATTATAATCAATTTAGATTTTGTATCAGTCTCGTAAAATTCTATGTTCACAGCAAAAGTGCTTAAATTATGTGATAAAGCATCTGTCAAGTGAAAACCCCTTAGTCTTGTTTATAATGCTGTTGCTTCACATCCTATTAACAGCCAAGGTCATTTAAGAACGTTCCAAGGTTTGGGTGGTGGAAGAAGGCCGAAGTTCTCCCGAGAAAAATCCACAGTCCTGCGGCCAAGAGGTGGAGGACTAGTGATACAAACGGTCTAATACTTAACCATTCTACCACCACAGCACCTTCCACAAACATGTAAATAAATTTCATTCACTTCAGCAAACCTAGCCCTTCCTCCAGCACTTAATGTTCACACCCTATGTATGACTGGTATAGAAGAACCACTCTATCTAGGTATCTGTATCATTTGTATTAACCAACACTATAAAATATAAAATATATTTCTAATTAACTTACTATGAAATTTTATCCTCAAATTAATACAAAATCATAGCAACAGCAAACATCTCAATCATTTCCTCTAAATGAAAATCATCCAAGTATCTCCGAGTAAATACATGATTAACCGTAGGTACAGAATTGTTTGTTACCCAAAGGCATATCTTACAAAATACAAACAAAACCTATTGTTGTAAGATAGAGAATTAAGGTCACTCATAGGATGCTACTTACAGTACTGAATTGGTTTTGTTTCTCTTATCACTATGCAACAGAGATTTAGCTGTAGATAATTTTTACATCACAATTTTGTTGTTACCAATACAGAAGACTTGAATTGACAGTACAATCAACATCATCATCACTACACAATCCAAGGATACCATTATAACATACTCATAGAATGTAACACTAGGATCAGGCATCTGCCTTTAGTTGTCGTTCACTCAACATCACTTTCTCTCCAGGTTTAAATGCTGGCATTCCTAGATACGGACAGCTGGCACAGCGGAAAGCATCTCCAAGGTAACACTGAAAAATGATCATTGTAGAATGTACTATAAGAATATAAGGTTCTTTGCTTCAATTTTAATCATCTTTCAAGTTTTACATTACGATAATCTGTACACCATCGTGAGTAATTATTTGGACATTATTGAAATATAGCAATTGACAAAATTCTAATAATTCTGCACTTAATGTTAAAACATAATTTCATTTTAAGTTCATAATATATTGAATCACAAGAATAATGTTTGAATCAGGAAAGATAACTCTAGAAATAGGCTTTCCATGAAGTAGTAGTACATATGCAATTGAAGTATGGATTTGAGAAGGACCTGGATAGTTTCCGGTTTCCTGAGAACAGGTCTACATAAAGAGGTACTGCCGAGGTACCTTGACCTGGTTGAGGGATATCTTAAAATTATTATATCCATCAATCCTGTAACTCAACAGTTTTATTATACTGATGTACACCAAAATTACTTTTTTTGTCAGAAAATGTTGGCAAAGTATAAAATATATTAATTTAGCTAGGCCTCAACTTTCCTTTGATAGAAATGGAGTCATATGTTAAATATATTGAAATAGAAAGTGCTGTCTGTATATTGTAGGCACATTCACAGACAAGTTCTGACCACCTCTTGCTTAACTGACTTGGTAGTTCTGCAGGTATGTTTTAACTCCCACACAGCCAAGTGATTTCAAGAAGTTGGGATATGAGCAATTCTAACAAACCATTTTAATATAGAGAAAATAAAGAATAGGTATATTGATAGAATTGGATGGTAAATAATTGATACATCATACAAATCTTTTATCCCTACTTGGAGCAAAAAGTACAGTGTTTTCTTATTATGCTAAAGTCTGTGATTTTTATCTACTGTTACATGTATTACAATTTCTTTACTTATTTTGAATGTCTTTTTGTATTAAGTAATAATTCATTAAAAAAATTTAATCCAAAATGCTATCAGCTATTTCTTCTTACATTAAATCTCTAATGTATGGAAGATCAATAAAGTCAACTCTTAAACATAGTTAACGATATCAACTTAAATTATTTTACAACAATTAGGAAACAAGTTATCACTTTGTTTTAATTATTCTTCATGACCTAGATGGATGCACACAATGGGTCTTATTGAGGAAGGAAAACTGATAAACCAGGAAAACCAAAATGGTTGGGTGAATGATCTCACATCTTTTTCTGTTTGCTCAAGGAATGAAACCTCAGTTATCACCATGAAAAGCCAGAGCATTACCACTACACCAAACAACGGCCCGACTTTGTGTAAAGAATTTTTTAAAACCAGCTTAGTTTTATATCATAACATACACTGTAGTATATGTACTCACACTTCCACAGGCAGATGTGGCTGTTTTTGGTTTGGGTGCCAAGCCCTCCAACTCCTCTGCTAAACCACAGGAACAGTTCTTACATGCCTTTTTTTTAGCTCGTCCCCCACAGTCAGCTGGTAAAATGACAGATAGGTACAATGAACAATCACATTCATGAAACAGAGAGACAATGAAATAGTCTACATAAACATCCATTACTCAGGGTTTTCCATAATTTTGTTAGTAGTAGGCTGTGTAGTGAAAGTAGGAGGCTGGCGAAGCTATCCGACCCGAGCCGCAATGCGGTGAGGTGGGGGTGGCCTGCCGTGTAGGTGTAGTCGTGTACGGAACTGGATTGGTGTGGGCCGCCAAATGATCAAAGAAGCCGGTCAAATTGGCCGGCGACCGGCTCTTATGGAAAACCCTGATTACTACTTAAGTGAACAATTATTTTCTGGTATTTTTGAATATCCTTAATAACCAAAGTACGGGTAATCAACCATTTTCTGATATCTTTGAATATCTTTAATATCTGAAGCGATCAACTGAAATTCATCTCCATTGACCAGGATTCAGGAAGACATCTAGTGACATTCAGTAATCTCTTCATACATTTGACAAAAAAAAAGAAAAGTAAAGATAAAAAGAATTCTCTTGGCACCAATAAGTTAAGAATGACAGGTATGGTTCCTAACATCATCTTCAAAGCTGGCCAAGCTGAATAATGTGTCTGCTTTATTCACAATTCTTGATTACTCAAGAAGAACTTAATCATTTCACAGATCATTATACATGCTTATCAATTACATACAGACACTTTTTATAGAATGTCCTGGATCTTTACAGGTGCTAAGTCTGTTACAATTTTAATTAGCTGTACTGTAAAATAATCAATTTCTGTGGAAGATTAATTTGTATTGTGGGTACTCTTAATCCGCAAATTCACATGTCCACAAACTGTAAAAATAAGTGTAAGTAGATTTATGGAGCTATATTCCTGAAACTAAGAAAATTGAACCTCGCAAAAAAATGAAATTTCACAGGACATTTAGACATACTAGTGAGGCCATACTAAGGACTGAAACAGGACATACTAGTCAGGCCATACTAAGGACTGAAACAGGACATACTAGTCAGGCCATACTAAGGACTGAAACAGGACATTTAGACATACTAGTCAGGCCATACTAAGGACCAAAAATATTCTTATCTTTAATTAAGATGTTTGGTATATTCAACAAGGCCTTACCTTACATCTTTACAGTTACTTAATCAGGTACAAGATAAACACAATCCTTTCCAGCCTCTCTAGATTAGATGTTTTAAGACTTTATTGACTATCCTTACCTTTCAGAGAAGCTGGATCGGGCTTTTTTAAATCCTCCTCATCTAAAAGGTCGTCGTCATCGACCATTTCAACATCTCCATCCATCATGTCCATACTCGACAGTTTCCATACTTTCTCTACATTTTCATCAACTTTATGTTCAACTTCAAAGATAAAGACAATTTCATTTTGAATAATAAGACATAAGCATAATTGTCTTCAATTCGAAATATCAATGCTTTAAAATTTGCTATTGTACCTGAGTTACTATTCATACCACACCGTTGGGTTACAATTTGTAAATGGATATCACTTTGCAGTAAAGAAACTTGGCTTGAAAACATTTGTTTTGATAAATACAGTAAAGAAGGCCGATGTGCAGTTCTATGTGCAAAACAATTTTTACCAAATGCTAAATGTGAATTAATATTTGTCAAATATGACATGCATCTTCTTCTTTTCCATGGTATGATGGGTAAGACACAATTAAGTAGAAAATACACTTTTACAGATATGTCAATGTTGAGGATATATTGATGTAATTAAATACTGAAAGGGTGTAGATTTAATACTAGTATCTTGTTCAGATATACCAGGCACCTGACGTATGACTACTTCCAATCCTCCTAAGATTAGTATCTTTCCCTTGCCAGTTAATGACCATTATTTGAATAATTGGAATGTTTATTATTACACAGTAAAATTTGTTTACCTTTCTTTTTTCCAAATGAAATTTTAAGTTGTGATGATGAACCCACTTCATACCCAGGTTTGAAGCACACACAGTGAGTGATAGAAACGTCTGATGACTGTAGGTTAGACTCCACACTCTGTCTGTCTTCATTTGTCAGCTCTAAAGTTACTGGCTGAAATAGGAAAAATATAACCATCAATTCGTCAGCTCTAAAGTCACAGGCTGAGACAGAAAAATGACCATCTATTTATGTATGTTGGACAAATTAGAATAACAAATGTAACTGTAGATTCAACTGTCTGATTTATGATGGGTATGATTGACAACCAATAACACAGGATTATTTATTCAACTTCATCAAATATCTACATCTACTCTACAATCATTCAAATGTATACACTTATTTATGTACTGTATATTTTTATGGACATGTCTAAAAGGCTATTTATTAATAATGCTTTGAACTCAGTCACCTGATTAGATTTTCAACTAAAGTCCTTCCACCTCAACTGAATCCGACAGTTTAACTTTGTAACTTGATATATATACATTTGATAACCAGTTTGGCCTAGTGTACAGATAACCAGGTTGGACTGGTGTACAGATAACCTGTGGTGTACAGATAACCAGGTTGGACTGGTGTACAGATAACCTGTGGTGTACAGATAACCAGGTTGGACTGGTGTACAGATAACCAGGTTGGACTGGTGTACAGATAACCTGTGGTGTACAGATAACCAGGTTGGACTGGTGTACAGATAACCAGGTTGGACTGGTGTACAGATAGCCTGTGGTGTACAGATAACCAGGTTGGCCTGGTGTACCAGATAACCTGTGGTGTACAGATAACCAGGTTGGCCTGGTGTACAGATAACCAAGTTGGACTGGTGTACAGATAACCTGGTTGGCCTGGGGTACTGATAACCAGGTTGGCCTGGTGTACACAAGGTTATCTTAACAAAGGGTTTAATATCAGGGTTTTACTAGAGAAGTAAATCTGAAAATTCAATATGAAATAACCAAATCGGACCAAGTTCATGTTCCCATTTATTCTACAAAAACATGAACTCTGTGCACTGTATTGGTGTTAGGCTATCAAACATTAAAATGTAGAAGCTGTTCCATACCTCTGATATATCTACAAAGCCGGACAGTTTTAAGGCAGAGGACAGCTTCCCTGAGGTTCTAACTTTTGAATCTGTTATTTCAGCAGCCAAAGTTGGTTCAAAGATGAAAAATGTGCCTTTTGGTTTGAGGATACGACAGATCTCACCCAGACAGTCACTATCATGTAGAGCACTAGAGGGCTGTAATAGTCCCGACACAACAACATCAAATACAGAATCAGGATGAGATGCTGAAATAGAATAATAAAAAGTTTTAAATTACATCATGTTGTTACATTATCATTTCAATAGTGTAAATTATACCAATAGATCCATAAACAAACAAACAAGAATAAACAATACTTTGAAATACTTTTTACAATAATGATGTATTAACTCTTTAAAGAAGTTTTGCCTTTGTGAATAACATATACCGAGGGTACTCCATTATATTTAACATTTCTTCTCTTTTACATGTGCTATTTGACTTACACATTGCCAGTCTTTCTATATGTTCTGGTTGTATTTTGCCTGTATCCCCCACAAGCTTGTTAAGGGATTCAACAACATTTTTGAAGCTTTCAGATGGCTGGTTTCCTGACCACAAAAACAGCACTTTTTGTCCATTTTTCACTTCTATTTTGTCCAGTGTCATTTTTTCTGAAAAAAGGAAAGAAATTGTTATTTAAAGACAAAAGGAATAAAGTAAAATTTTAGAATTACAAAGTAACATCTGTAATTAATGGCCCCTTTGGATTTGGAATTCATCTGTACAATGATTTTAAAATAAAATTATGATTTGATAGCTACTAACATATGTGTAAGTAAGCCACATACTGAATGAATAAATATATTCCTCATTTTTTTTGACAGCAATTGATTTACCTAAGTGGATTTTAAAAAGTGGCTGACACAACAAGATCTTATGAGAGATGTCACTGTTTATAATGCTTGCTGTCAATGGTTTGACAATATGCTTGGGTTTTTTCCACTCATTTGGGAATGGGCCTTTTTACTTCATTTTGATGGAAAAACTACCACTTTCCCCCTTCTTTGGAGCCAATTAGGGTTAAGACAATTTAAAGCTTGCACAGATTGCCCTAAAATGTATATTTATGCTAGTTTTAATTTCTCTAATTGTAAATAGACTTTTTTGTATTTAGTTGAATAAACCAGCCATTTAATCACTTTTTTATTACAAAACCAACAAATATCATGGCATCACAACATATACACAAACACACAAAATGATGTCACAACGACTGTGTGATCACTCACTTGAGTGCTGCAAAAAACAGAGTTCGTGATTTCAAGTACATCAACTTCACATAGAAATATTTTCTTTCAACAGTCATTTTAGTTTGTTTTAATTACAAAGTTTTTGAATTCTTCATTTGTAAATTGAGTACAACGCATGATGCCTGCATGTAGGTCCACATAATACTCAACTGGCTGTCCTCTTTTTTCCGAGGCTGGTGATCTGGCATAATGCAAACATCTATTTGAGAAAATTCTAACTTCGCAAAAGCAAACACAATAATCAGTGCATTTTGCAGAATTTTAATCAAGCCATCAGGGTTATAATTATTTTCAAATGCATTTCTTTTGTAAAAAGGACACAAGAAATTTTTCGCAAAATTCATAACTTAATCATAAAAGTTAAGGTTTTCAAAAACAGGCTGTTATTATCAAATCTAACATAATATATAATACATATGGGTATGCTAACTCACAGACAGATGGCAATATAAGGACAAGAGTAATATAAATGCTGCACTGTTTTATTATTTTGGTAAATTTGCATTTGTCAATCATTTCCATTTAAGAGATAGGCTCCAAAGTTCAGTATTGGGACCTAGTCATTTCTTATTTTACATCAATGATATACAAAAATCTAGAAGACTTTGCTATCTCATCTGTGCACCTTTTTGCAGATGATGCAATTGTGCATCTAACAGCTCCATCTACTTCAGATGTTGCATCCCTGTACAGAGACCTTATACTTTTGCAAACTGAGAGGGTAAATGGGGATGGACTTTCATCCTGATAATTGTCGAGTCTTACCAATACAGAAGACTGGGAAGCCAATACTCAGCCAGCATATGGTGCATGGCCATTTTGGTTATTACCATATCCTCAAATACCTTTCACCTCTGACCATATCACTAATATTATTAACAGTTCTTAGTCTTAAGATCTTACACAACTGCGACCGAGTTTCAGACCCTCACGACACTCTCATCCTTTTTCATTCCAAACTCTTCTACCAAGTAAAGACCTACTTCAACTAAGTGAAGGTTATGTTATGCTTGAGAGACAAAATGTGTGATATGAATAGAAGGGAACAAAATTAGTATTGATGGGCAGAAATTGCAACTTTGCAGGAAAGTAAGGATTCAGGGGACACAATTTCGAAAGGGAGAATTCTTTCCAGACAGATGTTTTACAAGAAATAGTTTGGAGAGAAAAATGATGACTACACCAAATTTGTCTTGAAGTTGGTTGGACATGTTTAGATGTAAGGGCAATTTTTGAATTGTGTATTTCTCAAAACATTACCAGCATAACATCTTTTCTGCTGTTTGCAAGGTTATGCCATTTCAGCAGTTTAAACATGTCGCCTATGCAGGTGTTAAGATAGTGATTGGTAATGAAACTGGCATTCCTGTGCTTGATCATCCCAACCTTCTCTATATCTTTATTTCAAATAAGGGTCTCATACTGTGCTGGCATATTCTACCTGAGGGCAGACAAGAGAATTTTAGGCTTTTCCTTTGATGTTAGCAGATGATATATTATTATTGATGGTGATACCAATATATTCTGCCTCTTTTACATGTTCTAATTGTTGGCCATGAAACATATACTAATGACAAATATGATGTTTTATTTTGGTGATTCATTGATTGATAGGACATTTAGCAGGGTGGAAAGCCATTTTTCTGTCAAAGTGATAATATATCCAAAACTATTTGCATGGAGTTGGCATCTTGCTGTGATATTATGGCCATACACGTAATAGTATCATCTGCAAATAGTCTGACGGTCGAATTTTTATCCTCAGCGATGTCATTGATGTAGTGTAGAAGAAGACTCGGCTCAAGGTCCGAGCTTTGGAAGACCTCGGATCTTATCGGGGTAGGATCGGACATTTCCGGTAAAATCACAGCTCAGAAAGAAATGCCGCCGATTCACTGTGCTTGTCATAGGTCTTCGGACGTGTAAACCTTTAATATTGTTATACATGTAGTAATACTGTTCATTATTCTAGTGAGTCAGGTCATCATCCCCTGACCGTAAATCGAGTGCCTTTCAAATTTCCAACATAAAATGGTTATGGACATTCGATTTCAACTTAAACTAAAACTTTCATAGTCTCTTCAAATCAAATGTTCATTGATGGAAGGTATTATTATGTAATCTTTGACAACACGTACCGGTCTTTAAATACGATGGGACGACTTCTGCGTTTTTCCTTTTCACGGTGTGTTTAACAATGATTCCGTATCGTTCACGTGTTTGAAAAGCATCGTTTGCTGGCAAACATTAGCAAGACATTGAGTATTATTTTCACCGGAAGTGTGAAATTCTTATGTTTACTTTTAATTAATATTTTCAAAATTTGTAATTCAAAAACATGATTTGTTCAATTAAATAAGTTTATTAACTGCTAAAAAGTAAGCCCTCAAATAGATAATTAATCATACCCGAAAACAATCATTGTATATTAACCAATCAAAACCATTCTAGCTAAGTTCATCTCTTTTGATGACTACGATTGGTCAATTTTTGAAGTGCGGCAAGATCAAATTCGTACCTAAACATCCAGACCCAGTCACTTCTGTTTTTCATGTTTTTTTTCGAATCCATGTGATATTTATATTTTATCATGGGTAGTGTAGATAATGATTACGATTGGGAATATGTCGCGCCACAATATGTAGATTTTTCGACAAATCCACTGGAAGAAGCAGATAATCCTGACGGCTGGTTTGGTAAGTGCGCGGCACCAACGACACCCCCTCTTTGGTCGGTTTGTGTTTTATTACGACTTATTGGATTTAATTGAATAAGAAAAGTCCATAATTTAATTGTACGTTGGCAAAATTTTGGATTCAGATGAGCTTTGTCATTGATGAATAATTAATGGTGGCTGTGGATAAGTAATTGACATGTTTATGCATACACGACTCAAAGTCCTAATGCAAGTAGGACATTTGCTTTTGCCGTTTAAGATTATTAAGGGAATTCAATATTGAGGCAATATGTACATGTAAAAACTACTTTAAGGTAATAAGGACTTACTGCTTATTCATTTTGGTGTGACTGTCTTGCTAATACATTGCAAACTTGTATATGAGATGTAGAAGAGGTACTGTTCCATACATAACTCTCCATCGAACAAAGACTGCTCCTGTTTTTAGCACTATATTTGTTTACCTGGTAGTGTGTTCAGAACACGTGGATCCACCACGTATTTTAAACATGCAAAAGCGTTCTTTTAAACAGATATTCTTTGGAACAGGGTCATTGATTAAAGTAAGCAAGACTCACTAAAAGAGGATGTATAATATTGTGTATGAACTGTCATTGTTTCCATCCTTACACATACATATGTATTGAGGTTATCTCAGGATTATTTATTGAACAGATTCTACAATCTGTTAGCTTACTGAAATTGGAATCAAATCGATACAAATGGCTGTCACTAAGTGCCTTATCCCAAGTCATGAGCAATTAGCAAAATGTTTCAGAAAGATCCTTACTAACAACCAAAGAGATCTTAAATCAAAATTTCTTTTCTATTGTGTGAGTTCAATGAATACTGAGAATTTAAATTGATAAATTAAAAAATCGAACTTGATCCTTACTTTTGAAAAAAAACCAACATTTTTTCATTGTTATAGTATAGCAAAGCATGCACTTTATAAATTGAAAGTTATCTAGATGTATTGATTAAATATACATTGATTAATTTTTCCTATGTGATAAATGTCATGATACGCAATATATTGTGGCGAGTCAATAATGTTGTTGGTGCACTTTTCCCTTCCATGAGAATTCTGAAAAGTTGGGAGGTATACATATATTATAAATGTTAATGAAATGAACTGTTTTTCAATTCTTTGTAGATGCTCCCTCTATTGAGTGTATTGAGGAAGAGTATTTAGAAGAAGATGAAGATTATAATGTCTGTAATGGTGTTGATGTGATAGAGGATGCTGAAAAGGTTGCTACCCCAACAACAGAAACAAGAAGGCTGACCAGATCCTTTGCTTCCACGCCTCTCAATGAAAAGGGACTACCAGAGGCATCAGGTAAAAAGAAATGCTATGTTTGATTGTGGTTACATGGTTCATACTTTAGGAACATGTAAAAAAAATTGAATCAGAGATCTTCAAGGTTATGTTTGTTTCTTGGGCTTAAGCCTAGTGAACAAGATTCATTATTAGGAAGTATCTCCTTGCAGCAGCTAGCTGTCATAGGCTGTCTCTCTGAACATCATACAGGGGATTTGTCCTATGCTGCGTCCAGCAATTGAAGCACTTCTTGATATAAGCTGCATATTGGAATATTTTATGATATTGATGGAATATGCATTGGTAATTGATGTATACCCATTTTGCAGTCACATTTTCATTTAGCCATCACTGTTTAATAACATGTGTATGTAATTTGGATTGTACCCATTATCATTGCTGACTTTGTATAGGCATAGTTACCAAACACTTTGTAAACAACTTTTTCCATTCTCAATGGGTAAGCATTTAATGATTCAGATGTCTCATTTTGAAGTCGGTGATCTCCACAACAGATCACTGCAAACGGTAAGCCCTAAGGGACTTTATGACTTCAACACTAAAAGCAATGGTGTGTAAGATCATTGAGTAAATGAGGACCAATCATTTTTGTCTTGTTTTATTGATTAGAGTAGTAAATAAAGTCAATGAAAATAGTTCTATTTCGTGCTGAAAACAGAATATCTTATGAATATAAAATCATATCTTACCCCAAGGTTGGAAAAGAAAGGGTAATTTTAAATTACCCATTTGTCAATTTTTTATCTTGACCACTGATTAAGTGTCTTGCCCTTGGACACATTAGAACATTATAGGCTGTAATCTCAGCTAGAAATATATTTCCCAGCATAGAGATCAAATCAAATTTCTCAGATCTTCATATGAGGATGCAGTAGTCCCCAAAAAATATGCTGACTTAAACTGTTGCAACTATTACTAAACATTTAGAGACAGAAAAAAAATAAGGTAAGATCAAGTTAACCAGGTACTTAATTTTATTAGACACATTTATTTAATAGTATTAAGAACAAAATCAGATAAATCACATGTTCAAATTAAAAATGTTGATCAAATTTACTTTGTGACAGAAACTAGGAAGACACCATCATTGCGAAGTACACCTGCAAGAACACCAAAAAGAACACCATCCAGAAGTAGAGAAGCTACCAGTCCAGACCTTCCTGCTAAAACTGATACTGAAATAAAGGGTAAATAGAAATTATCATATTGAATATAATAAAGACACTTGGCATGAGTTAGTGACCAGTGAATGGCTGAAATTTACACAATTTTTTGTCAAATAGCGTAAATATACCTCACAATCTCACCACAGAAATATGATGTTATGCAGGTGTTCTTGAAATTCTATTTAAAATTGTATGAAATATCAGGTATTTAAGTCTGACTTTTTATTTTATTACTTAGATGAGACTGTGACCTCGTCTGAACCTGTGGTAACGAAAAACATCTGTACAAATCTGACACAGTGGAGAGCGAAGAGCAAGAAAGAACCATCACAGACAGTCAAGAGTAACAACAAACCTCTGCCAGCTAGAATCAAGAAACAACCAACAAATGGGTAGGCAAACACAATATCACGGACTTGGTTTTAAAAATTAGTTTGATTCTAATTATAAATTTTCAAAAAATACAACAATGTTTGCCTTAAGCATGAATAGCATGGTGTCAGCACCATTCTGCCCCTTATTTCACCTTTTTATCACGACTCCAGTGACCAATATATGTGGCCAATTAGGTTTATGGCAAGTCCCCCTAACCCAGACAAGGGCACTGCCTTAATTATGTAAACAGAGCATCATGACTCACCCATAATCAAATTAACCCCTTCACTTAAGACGATCCATGTGACATGGGGTGTTCAGGTCCATTTGCAACCTCTGGCAATTTAATTGACAAAGGTTATTTCCTACGATTTTACCATATTAAATGGATGAAAAGCCACAGTTTTTGTCTTGTGGTTCGGGTATGCAGCTTATATAACGGTGTAGCATATATGTGGACCAAAAAATTGTAAGACTGAAAAAACTGTTTTAATGCAACATCACTTTGAGAAAGACTTTTGTAAAAAAAATTGTATTGTATCGATACTGCCTTTTTAACAAGTACCTACAAACATCTTTATCCTTTCGATTATTCTTCAGTCTTCAGTCGTACTCTTGTATTCCTTCTAGAATCCATGTGCTAGACACCACAGAACTCTACAGCACTTTGTACACAGATAAACTGTGTCAGTGGCGAAAACTACAAGCAAAATAATGTGGTATTACTGACCATCCATATGAAAACTGACATGACAGCTTTCCTTAAGCAATCATATTTAAACATATGGATGATATTTTTTACATTGCTTGGTAAATTAACTGAATGGATTTGATTGCTTTAATTTTGCCATTATCGGTATTACAAGTATTGCCATGGAGGCAGAACCTACAAACTGAACATGCTACCTCCATTGTATGATTGTAAGAGGCAACTAAATCTTTATATTTTTCCCTAATGTCTCACTTTACACTGCCCCACATTTGACATAAATGGGGAGAGATTTGAGATCTCTCCCTTGTTGGAGACATACCAGAGTCTTTAAAAATGGTATTGTGTAGTGACTACTTCTTGTTTAATGTTCATTACTTTGGTGAAGTAATTACTTATTTATCCATTGTCAGTAAAATGTATGACATGTTCAGATGTCCTACTGGTGCCCATCAGCAGTATGCTTCTGTGTAGTTGCATTATACAGTCGACTCAATCTCCCCCAGTCACAAGGAGGCTTACAGGAACAAGCTGCAGCCCCCAAAATACATGCACTCATTAATACTCTCATGTCACACATGTGGGGATGCCAACCATAGCTGTTTATAGGATGGGAAACGATACACATAAAACCTTCTGGTACTTAAACAATGTTTCTGAAACTAGGTGGTACATATCAGCAATGTAAGAATCTGTGTGATTATCATTTTGCTATATAAGATAATCAGCCTGTTATCCAGCGAATCCCATGTAATAGTTTTGCTTGTGTCACTAATGTATACCCTGGAGTGCTATTCATTGCCTGTAATAGTCAGAATTTGTGATGTCATAATATGGACAATGTTGTTAAATCAAAAAAAGAAAATTGCACCACAAAATCTGCCTCTATGGGATTTTCTCCACATTTTGACTTTAAGACTTTTTCTGAGCTATGTGATAAAAAGTCTGAAATTTGTTTTCATTTCATACAAACTTTATGACGCTTGTCTCAACTTTCAAATGCTTGTTTGATAAAATCTTATAAAAACTTAAACTTGGTACCTATCACGAATATCAGAAATATTTGTATGATTATCATACCATTTTATCTGATGTAGGTTTATAGTTTATTTACTTTGAAACTACACAAATTATTTTATGTTTCAGAGGTAACAGTTCAAAGCCTGTCCAAAATCCAGAGCAGCGGGGCAGATCAACAACACTGAAACGATCAAGTTCATTCAGGCGATCTGCAGACACTGCTAATGCACTGGAGGAGAAGTCAAGCAGTTTGAAGAGATCAAATACTATGAAAAGATCTACCAGCCAAAAACTTGATAATGTATCAAGTTCATCTCTTGATAATAGTAACTCAAAACGAAACCATTCACGTGGCCGATCTGTGGGACGTGCCAACTCTTCAGACAGACAAACACGTCAGAGATTGAACTCTAATAGCTCTGATACAAAGGAGGACATAACAGCTCCAGCTTCTAAGATGCCAAAACTTACAATCCCTAACACACCAACCTTTATGAAGTAAGTCTACAACGGTAAAAATGTACCAGCATGCTTTTACACTGCTTTTTTTTAGGTAACCTGAGACAAAGTCTCAAGTGACCCATTGCTATCACATTTGGTCCGTCGTCTGTCGGAAGCGATGAAGAAAATTCAACTCAGGTGACCGTAAAGACCTATGGGCCACTTTTTTTTCTATTTTTTTCTTTTATTTCTAGAGGATTTAATCAAATTGATGAAACTAACTTTTAAAAAAAAATACAGGATAATGGCTATGGTTACTGTAAATATAAGTGGAAGCACTTTATGAATAATGTATGTATCTTGTTATTTCTTTGAAGGAGGAAGCCTGGTCCGAAAGTAAATTCAGAACAGTACAAGAAAGCTGAGGAGAGAGAGCTGGAAACTATTGCCATGATGAGAAATGAGTTAGCTAAAAAACGTAAGCTAGCCCAAGAGTCGTATAAGAAAGCCATGACTGGCTCGGCATGTCAACCTGTTCAAGCCCATAAATTACCAACAAGACCCACAGAATTCCAGTTCCAGACAGACAGCCGCATTAAATCTACTCATGCAATGGAGACCCGCAGTGAGAGCAAAGAGAAAGACTTTGTAGAAAGCCTTCGTTCCAGCAGTACAACTAAGACCTCTGTTAGTACTTATTTTTTACAGATGTGTACTAGTATCTGTTAGAGCTTGTGTTGTAATATCATCCTTTTCAGTGAAATATTGCATTAGTGCTGGTTTTCATTGTTCCTCTTTTGTGACCTTGTCCAGGTTATAATCTCTAAACTGTACAGAGATATCTACAGGCAGGGCGCATTGCACTTATGTTGGTCACTGAGGCCTGCAACCAGAGGGTTAAGGTCATATAAGTGCTAAATTTGCGATAGAAACTTGTCTTGGCAATAACTTTTGAACTGTCAAAGATATCTTAATAAAATTTTCTTATCCCCCATCTAACAAAGTTGGCGGGAGATATTCAAATGGGTTCCTTCTGTCCATCTAGATGCTGCTCTCTGCATGATATCTTTTGAAAGACTTGTTGGATTTTAATGAAACTTGGTAGGTACACTTGTTACCTTAGTCCCTTGCCCAAGTTTGATTAACTGGGAATTCCACATATATTTAATGAGGCTGCTGTGACCTTATTGGCTGATATCTTGAAACAGTTTTGAGGATTGCTTTCAAAATTTCTTTCAAAAGGAATGATCAAAATTTTTATGAGACTTGCTTAGCAGACTTAGTACCTTAACCACTCGCTCTAAGTTTGATTATTGGCTAATTCTGTGAATACCGAATGAGGCAAATGTGACCAGAATGGCGAATGCTTTGCACAGGATACCTTTGGAAATGATAATAAGAGACCTTTAAAAGACTATAAACATATCTCTTATCGATTTGGAAATTTAGATGCCACAAAATCACGAAAGAATAATAATAAGAAACAGAATAATAAGTCTTTTCATGAGTTGGTAAAAAGCCCTAATAAATCTATGAAAGTGAATCTCCAAGTATAATGTTCGAAGTGATATTGCACTATCACTGGTTATGATTTGTTTTACTGATATTGACTTTCTTGCAATTTTACTCATTTGACTTTTAGATGCTGTATTGTATTTTATTAGTGTATATAAACCATTTCACTGTTTTGTCATACTTAATCAGTAATAGAACCATTGATTGACCAGCATCACTGAAATTAAGTGACAAATATTCTATCATTACCATTGAATAAAAGAATGTAGATGTATGATTAGCCTGTTTTAATATTCACAGTATTATGCTACTAAATTGTTATTATATTGATCACTTTCAACGGAATTTTAACTTGAACACAATAAATGGTTTCAATATGTTAGTTTTCCATGTTGCCCAGTGTATATATTTTACAAATGAACATGAGCAAGGGATCTTGATGACTGTGTTCTTGTTTATATAACATTGATACTCAAAAAGCATAGATTGCAGTTGTTTTCATTGTCAAAACTTTGATGGATGAATTGATTGGATTTTTTTAGCCTCTACATGCAGCAAACCAAAAAGGCCCCACCATCCCCAAGCCATTTAAACTGACAGATTGTAAGAAGCGTAAGCTTGGCAGTATGGAGGACCTGTCTAAAGCTGATACCTACCAGAGTATGGCTGAAAAAGTAAAGGCCTTCCATAGGCAGACACCAGATCGCTTCAGAACAAGGGGTCGTGTTGGCAGTGCTGACAGAGGTATGACTAAAGATAATCTCTCCGCAACACTGCCATAAGTATGACTAAAGCTATTACATGAAGTGTAATATTGGTAGCACCAAGAGAGATAATTAAGTTAAGCTATGTGGCGATATAACTAGCACCAGCAGAAGTGTCTAAAGCTAGCTTGTTGAGAACTTTGGCAAAATTTCCGTTTATGAATTTCATGAACTAAAAATAAGATTATCATGAAGTTTGAAAGTTAAGTTAACTTCCTGGCAAACCAAAGTAATTAAGGATATTCAGAAAGATTAAAATGCTGCTCAAATGTTAGGATTGTGACCACTGTATGACATAATAATTTTCCCAGAATAGAAACTATGAAGAGCTGAAAAAATACACAGTTCATTCCAGAAACATTTGTTGTGCGAGTGATTGTCTAACATAGCCTAAAGAAATTGTTGCAATGGGTTGTCATTTATTGGTAGTGCTGACAGATTTTCACTGTTATGATAAAAAATGTTAGTTCTAAAAAGAATTGATTTTTCCAAACAGGTGAAGGTACCCGAGGCAGATCAAAATCACCAAAGAAAGTATTGACTCTTCCAAAGACTCCACAGTTTGAGACACGAGGAAGAACTCGATCCCATCACATACCAACCCAACAGGAGAGGGAGGAGGAGGAAGTTCAAGAGATGCTCATGTAGGTTCTATAGCTCTTACCTTGACTGACAAGTACTGGTTATCCTTATTTTATTCAAACTCTTTCAGAAAGTCATTGAAGACTGTTTCATAAATTAGTAGAGGAGCTGTACAATCAAACAAGTAATTTTTCTGCATCATCTTGAAGATGATATGTATTGTATTAGAAGCTGTGCTTTGCTTAGAACATTAGCAGTCTGACGTTTGGTTTTGTTTATGATACTTGTATAATGATGTAGGGAAGAATTAGAGGGACCATGCAAGTTAAATTATCAGATATGAATATTTGGAAATGATTGAATTGTAAGGCTAGTACACCTCCACATCTAGATTTTAACTTCTCTTTCGATCACTTTGGATTTTCCTCAGTTGTCTCCGAGGCTTCAATATTTAGGCCTCTAGCATCATTGAGGAATCCTAGAACAAAACAGCTGTGCAATACGGTTTACTCCATTGTGTTGCTGTATCTAACTCTAAATTTTAATTAAAAGGTGTTATTCTTTTATGCTGTTTGAATCGTTTACATGCTTCGACAAACAAAAACTCATTTACATAGCTGCATTGAAGCATTCATCCATTCATTGTAACACAACATAAATCTGGTGTTTCCACAACCATTGAGCTTACAAAATTTAATTTTAGTCATTTTCACAGCATACATATATAAGAAATTTACGATAGCTTATTTGTCATTGTATTGTGTATTAGTCAATTTTTTTTTCTGCCATTCATATATTCTGCTGGCCCCAGTTCATCTGGAGACCTTTCTGATTGTTAGATATTTAGGTATAGCCTGATCTCGACCAGTACTGGTATGTAGGCAATTTACTGCACAGCAGGCCTAATTTTTGGGACTCAAGCAGAAGGTCCATAATAACTAGTACTTTTAATTACAAATTCTTTTTATATTGATTGAAACATTTCTTGGCAATCTTTTCTTTTTATCAGGAATCAATTCAAAGCTCATCCTGTGAATGAAAGGATTTTGACAAACCCAAACACAGGTGTAAGGAAAGTGGCATCTAAACCTTTAACCAACCCCGAGGAGTTCCACTTAACAGCCGCAGACAGGCGGACACAGGACAGTTCTACAGAAGAAGAGAAATTTGAATTTCATGCCAAACCAGTACCTAAAAAGATACTAGAAGGCCCTGTGGTGAGAAAATATTAAATCTGTATTTTACTTGCATGTTTGTTTTGAGAATGTTTTATTGATTTACAAGAACCTGTTTAGCTTAATTTCTGAACATCCCTCCTAACTCTCAACAGCCTTAGTGCTATTTTGGTCATCCTTGAATATCAGTTATATATTTGGCAATGATATGTCACTTTTGGCTTTAAGTTTCAAACACAAATCTTTAAGATACAATTCAAACTCCTTTACATTCAGAAACTCCATTTAGTTCCGTCACAACATGATGTAGATTGATGTGTACTGTCAGTTTGTAACATTTGCAGAGGATTTAGTTTTTCTATAATTGTGTTTAGTTAAGTAGTGAATCTAATGGGCAGAAACTGTATGTTATATGTTTATACAGATAAAATGTATAGATATGCATGAAAGTTAATTTCTCTGACCTAGCTCTCATCCACTCTGTTTTGTTTGATTGAACTGTCACAAGGTATTTTCTTTATACCCCAGGGATTAAAACCAGCAAAAGTATTGGCTCCAACAATTCCTAAGTCACCTGCCTTTGCTTTGAGGAATCGTGTACGGATGCCTGCTGAGTTAGAGGAATCTCAGGTATCTTTTAATCTCAAATCACCCAGAGAAGTGCCAATTATAAGGCGTAACATCAGATTTTACAACTGTGGTGCTAAGGCTAAAACATTAGGATTTTGTTTCCTGTTTATCAAAGCAGTAAAATCACTAAGATTGAAAGAAATACTGATAGCTCAAAGTGCAGATGTCTCATGATTCATTAGAAAATGCATTGGCCTATACAGCCGTTGTATGAAATCTTCAAAAAAAGGTAGTTACAATTTGATTTCTTAAGCATGAATTGGCATTTAATATCTACCAATTTTAAATATTAAGTCAGTGTATACACTCAGTTATGATGTTACACCTATAGTTCATTTACATGCTGCTGAAAAGTCTGCAGTCGTGATTTATTTGTCAAGCTTTTGAATCAGTTTTGTTTATACGTTCTGCATGGCTGTCGGGTAGTATCCAAATAGAACTAAAATTTGAACATATTCTGTTCTGTAGTCCTGTATAAAGACTTTCAAGGCTCAGAACTCATTAAACATTGCCCTGGTTACATTGCAGAATGAACCTCAAAAAGTCAAGGCTAATCCAGTGCCTCATGCGGGAGTACCATTCCAGCCAAAGCTTGGTCATAAGAGTACTATTCCTGAGCCTTTCACGTTCGAGGAGAGGGATCAATTTGTGAAAGCAAAGAAGGAAGAAAAGATCAAGGAAATATTGGAAGAAGAGAAAAGAGTAAAAACATTTGTTAATTTAATTCTTCTTTAACTTTAAATATTGGTAGCAGTCAAACATGCGTCTATCAAGTGAAATTTGTTAGAGACACTTTACTGTAAATGTTGGTATGTCAAGTGGTAATATTTTGGCTATGTTATTGAGGATGGAAAAAAAGGCATGAAAAGAACATACCAATACACGGAGAATCAAAAATTATAAAAAGAAATACGCAAATTTTATTTCAAGCTTTTTGGTAAATTGCAAAAATCTGAAACATCTATGAAATGTCACAGTGACCAGATACCAGTCCTAAATATAATTTTCTGTATTTCAAAAAAGCATTTATTGATTTAAGGCACGGGAATTCCAAGCTCAAAGTTGTCCAGGTCAAACAGGTGATACACTTCCTGAAAAACACACGAAACCTCCAACAAGACCTCAGCCCTTCAACTTTGACATCGACAGTAGAGGAGCCAAACGGGCAGAGGAGTGGAGTCGTAAGGTATATGTACGTCTCTTTGCCTTGTGCTCATTGTAACATTGCACTCTCCTTTTTATCACTTTCCTTATCATCTTTTGGTTCACTATTTTTTAATCCTCTAACCTTTTACAAAACTTTGTGTGTTTATTGATTATTCACTTCAGTCATTTGTTTGTTGTTAAGTCACTATGACCTTGTCCTCATTATTCTATCACTTTGACCAAGTGCTCATTATTCAATGGCTTTAACTTCACGCTCATTATTCAATCACTTTTCCTTGTGCTCATTACTCATTCTCTTTGGTCATGTGATCATTACTTAATTATTTTGACTTTGTGCTCATTAGTCAGTCACTTTGACCAGGAGACGTACAATACGTCCCTGCTTTTACCAAGTGCTTATTGTCTATTGCCTTGTGGTCATGTTAAAAAAAAGTGAAAATCAAAATGATTGATTAGACAATATATCTGCTGATACTGTAGAATTTTTTTATTATTATTGCAACCAAACCTGTTCATTGCTGCCAATGTTAATATCATAACAATTAAGTGGTACTATTGTTGTGATAGGTATTTTATTCAGACATGAAAATATATATAAAAGGTTGGTTGGGTGGCACAGTGGTAACACACTTGTCTGACACCTAGCTGTCCAGGATTCAATTCCCGGAATCGATGTGAAAACATGTGAGGTTACCAACATGGGGTTTCCCCGGGTATTCCAGTTTTCTCCCACAGTAAGATCACCCTGCACTTCCATCCATGCCAGGAAGAGTGATAAAGAAAGGCTTAAAGCTTGTTTCGCAATTATAAAATAAATCAAGGTCTATTTTTAAAATGTATATACACATGTTACAACAAAATTTCACATGAAATATATATTGCAATATCACCATTTTTGAAACAGTGAGTTACTGCAAATGATTTCAAAAAAATTGAAACTGCTGAACTTTTGTTTGACTTACCATACTTGATCTTAATACAAGACACACAACCCTAGGTTGGTCAGATGATAGCATAGTTGCTGGTTTTATTTTCCAGATTGAGGAAGAGCTAAGACAACAGAGGCTCCAAGCCACCTTTAAGGCCACCAACAGTGATGTCCTTATCAAGAAGCCATTTGTGCCGTCTAAGTCACTCAAACCATTAACTGGTAATCTCACAACTTGCATTTGAATATCTCTCTCTTAATTGAGATTTTTTCTACCCCCTTGTCATAAATTCTGTAAAGCTTTGTATTCTAAGGCTACTGTAAGAACAAAAAGTGCAGATCAGGAAATCCTGATCATTGAACAAAGTTCCCTTGGAGTTCTTGAAAAATAAGGAAGAAATCTGGATTCATGTGGCTATAGCTTTAAGTGTTGTTGATGTACTTCCAGTTATACCATTTTGGTTTATTCTCTAGCTTTTCTTAACGTCAATCATTTGCAAATTTTCTTGACTGTTTTTCTGTCCTCGTCTCGGTTCAAGTCTATGGTAAAAGGTTTCTGATTCATATGTTGTGTTTTTGTCTTTTCATTTTAAAATTAAAGTAATAAAGTCTGATTTATTTGATAATTCTGTTTTACAGATGTAAATGACTTTGAACTTAACACAGACAAGAGATCCAGATCACGTGAAGCATATGACCAACGCAGGAAAGCCCTTGAAGCGGAGGCAGAAGCATTGAAACGTCAACGAGAAAAACGACAAGAAGAACAAGAAAAAATTGCTATTGCAAAATTAAGAGCAGAGATGGTGCCCAAATCTCAACCAGTGAAACATTTTAAAACTGTTGAAGTTTTACCAAGTGAAAGACAACCCACAATTCCAATGTCACCTAAATTCTCCACAGACAGTCGTCTGCGCAGTAGTGTGCGTGTGTGAAGAAGTGTAAGGTGATTAATATATGACAGCTGTATAGAGTGAAGCTGTTACGATTGGACATTGATGTTAAAGTACATCTGATTGATAACATCCTCTAAGTGGTGTACACTGCCCAGCATGAGTTACTTTCCTTTGTGTGGGGTTAATTGTAAAACGTACTTATTGGAGTGGAATTTGCCAGTTCCATTTAGTGTTGATGACCAAGTACGGCGAGAAGAAAGTCCGTAGTTCTGTTAACATTAAAACAAAATAATTGTTGGGAATCGTTGTCAAATATGCCTTTCTCTAAGCTATGACAGGTTAATCAATTGTTTTTGCTGACATTAATACTAAATTTCTACACTTTTACAAATTTACACCATCATGTAATACATCTCTACACACTCGATATAACTATACCTTTATAAAAATGCACAAGACTTGAAAGATAAGTGAATACTAGAATGCTGTATATTTTACTTAAAACTGAATACCCTTCCATTTTAATAATCTGAATACATTTTATCATTGTAAAATATCATTGTCATTTTGCTTTTAGAAAATATAAAAAACAAGAAATTGATGTAAATATCTTTTCTTATTGGATCATTTTGAGTTCATTATTTGATAAAGATTGATGTAAATACCAGGTATTGGATCCGATATTGCTAGTGTTCATATCTGTTTGATCATTGCGAGAAACATGTTTTCTTAAACACAGATCATTTGATCATCACGAGTGCACATTTATTTTGTGAACCTTTGATAATCGGATCATTTAAAAAAAATATGCAAAGATTGGAAATGATCATTTCAAGGGTATGTGTATTGTGTTAGATCATTTCGAGACACTTGTTAGTGTCTTATTGACTATTGAAGTTCATGTATATATGAATCTTAAATCATTTCGAGACACTTGTTAGTGTACCTTATTGACTATTGAAGTTCATGTATATATGAATCTTAAATCATTTCGAGACACTTGTTAGTGTACCTTATTGACCATTGAAGTTCATGTATATATGAATCTTAAATCATTTCGAGACACTTGTTAGTGTACCTTATTGACCATTGAAGTTCATGTATATATTAATCTTTAATCATTTCGATATACATGTTAACATCAGTTATTTCAAATGCAAGTGTATTATTTATCATTTTGAGAGACATCTGAATGTTTATCATTTGGATTGCATGTATATTAATTATTAATCCTGTGTAAACTTTTGTTTGACTTACCATACTTGATCTTAATTACAAGACACGCATAGTTTCTTCACCTTTATTATTGATCATTCAGGAGGTGTATGCTTATCAACATTTGGAGATATCTGAATATGTTCAAATCACTCTTGGTACATGTTTATTTTTTCATCTTGAATTGTTCATGTATTGGATAATTGTAAGATATACATCAGCATTTAGTTTTAAATCACTTTCTTTTTGAGAACACATGCTGTATTTGTTATTTTTTGAGATGAGTAGGTAGATTTATTCAAATCAGAAAGTATGCAGTTGTGTTCGTCCTATAGCACTTCTGTTATAGACAGTATTGAGAATCAAATCCCTTCTGTAATAGACAGTGCCAACTGCTTCTTTGTCTAGGACAACAACTTAAGCCTTTCTTTAATCATATGTATCAGACATCGGATTTCTTTGACTTTGAACAACTTTCATCAAACAAATTTTTGATATGTCATTGTATTTGTCATATTCTTGTTTATAAAATCATTGATATGGCATGTACAGTTAAACAGAATAGCATGACATATTAATGTAGAATTGATAGGAGTATGGATGAGTGAGTGAAAGATTAAAGACAGAACTGTATTATAGTAATTTTGCACTCATTTGTAATTATAACACTTAATCATGCCTTCACTCAAATGAAATGTTATCACTATTTTAGAATTTCACCTATTGTTTTATGTATCTACTTTCCATACTTCCTCATTTCTTCTCTGTTTCCTTTATGGTCTTTTTTGTGTATGGGTGGTTATGTGTAACTTGACTTTGTCGAACATTCTCTGTATCATTGAGTCATTAGCTTGTGTATAAGATTTGTAATTAACATGGTTTAAAACATATGAGTATATATTGGTGACATTGCTAAAAAATATATTGAAGGAGATGTCTTTTAGTGTGTGCTTCTTTTTTCAGAAAAAATGAACTTTTAGAATGAAGTTATATGTAGAAAGACCTTGATTTCAAAATTGGTACATAAGTATGTTATCAGATTGTGTGTACTGGATCCCAGGATTATCAAAACGTGTAAACGCAGTTTGATATCTTTCTTGTGATATTTCTCTTGAAAAGATTTGTGTTTTGAGAACATGTCTACCATGATAGAAATTCTTATTTCTAGTTTCCTGGTCTTATCCTCGGATTACAATAATATTGAGGTGTTACAAATGGTAGACATGTGAATCATAGTTAGTATATAGTACAACAATATGTTATTGTGATAATAGAAATAAACATTTTAAGCCATACTTTTATCTGTGTATCTTGATTTCCTACCCATCAACAGTGATCATTACTTTGTAGTTACTACAACTGTACCAGGTACTTATTTGCTGGCACTGTAAGTCTAGTAACCTTCTAATGTTCCATTTTTATGGGAGGTGGCAAGGTGGAGGTAGGGGGTATAAAGTAGTGTTATCCTTGTCTGTTCCATCCTGAATGAACGCCATGATTATAGAACATCATTTCTCATGGGATTTTGATTAAACATATGCTGAGACTATGACAAGGTCTTGGATGATTTTTATGTTTCCTGGTTCAAAGGTCAGTGTTACTATCTATAGAAATGTGGTGGCCATTAATACCTGTGTAGCAGAAGCATGAGTGTCTTACATACATTCTTTAATTTTTACATCTGGCTATTTTTGGGTTTGTGTACAGTGCCTTTGCTCAAGGAGTCGAGAGCTAATTATCAAGTTAGGGTATATTAAAACAGGTACAACACATGTATCTATTCTCTAAACCAGTTCTTATGAAGCGAAGTAAAGCATCAGTACCTTAACCTAAGGCAGTTGTATGCTAGCAACGAATTGTTTTAGTTAATCCTATCCTTTAATATGTAAAGTTTTTATGGAATAGAACTGCTTCCTGTGAAGAAAAACTCACTTCAAACAGAATATTGCATTTGCCTCTCAAATTAAATATATTTTAATCATTGATCAAGGCCTATGACAAGTTAGAGAAAACAAACCTGTCAAAATCCACATACATAACAAGGAACCTAAAGGGCCTACACTTAAAAAAGTAGATGGGATCTATCCAATAGCAAAAAGTTCAACTTTCAAAATATAATAATGCTGCCTGTCAGCCATTTTACTTTTTCAGTCCAAAAATGAGATCCCAAAGTGATCTTGGTGCCCACAATTGTTTGGTCATATTTTTTGTCTTTAAAAGTTTAAAAGTATAGTTATAATAATCTTAGTCAAAATCCAAGATGGCTATCTGCCAGCCAATTTGTTTCTCCGATCGATCCCAAAATCAAAAGGGTGTAACTAGGGACTTAGGGGAACCCATATTCTAAAAGTAATCCAAGAAAGATTTATCAAGTACTTTCAAGAAATAGCAATAATACATTTTCATAGTCAAAATCCAAGATAGCCGCATTTCCGCCACAATTATGGACCAAAGCGAACATATACATGAAATTTGAGAAGGATCCATCCAGTACTTCTCCAAAGCTGACAAATTATTACTGTCAATAACAAAGATGGCTGCTTGTCGGCCATTTTGGTTCTTGATTAGTCTCAGAATAATGTATGGACAACTGAAGACTAAAGCTGAACACCATAAGAAATTGGAGAATGATCCATGCAATACTTCTCCAGAAATAGTGATAAAAGATATTACTGTAAAAATCCAAGATGGCAGCCTAACGGCCATATTTTTTTCTGGTAAGTGCTATAACCAAGCAATGCACTGCTATGGACCTAAGAAACTTACAATTAAAATTTGATGATGATCCATCTTGTATTTTTCAAGAAACAGCGATAACATACTGTCAGTTAAATATGCACAACTAGGGACCAAGGAGATCCATCTAATACTTCTAAAGAGAGAACGATAAATTTCTACTATCAAAATCCAAAACATCTGCTTGTCCGCCATCGCTGTTTTGGAGTTACAGCAATACTTCCTATAAAATAATGATAACAATAATTGTTTCAGAACAGACAAATCGACAATAGCTGCTGACAGCCATCTTAAATGTTGCATCATGCTCAAAAAGTGATGTCCCCATACCGAACTTACCCCTAATGTTAGACAACTCCCTCTGTCATTTTGGAGAGAGAGAATGGAAAACCTTATCTAAATGTCCACTATCAACGAATTTAAATGCAGTTTACATTTTCAATTTCTATTTATTGAAATTTACTGACATTAAATTTACCTCAGTACAATCAAAGTACTGAATGTCACAACCATAAATCCACATATTTAAAACAAAGCAGAAACTTTTGTCATAAATTTTTTTAATTCAAAAGTTTCAACTTCGTGCACATTTGAATACAACACAACATGGCAATTTTTATAACACAAGTGCACACAACAATAAAATGATACCATTCCAAAGAGATTTTGTTGGCTACAAATTTCAGTGTTAAGTGTATTATTGGCTACAAATTTCAGTGTTAAGTGTTTTAAGACATATTTATTTGTGTTATTAATTCTATTTTACCATTCTAAGTAAAAGTACTGATAAATTATATCTATCAAACAACTTGAGGATTGTTGGTTGGATTGAGATTTGAGATAACCATTCAATTTCCAATAATTACGTAAATACACCTTTAATACCTAAGTTCACCCCACTTAATTTAAACTTGGATATATTGAAATACTGCTTCATTTGAAATGAAACAGAACTCCTGTTTTTATATATATCAATTTTTTCATTTGAAATTATACAAAGCCCCTGTTTTTATATTTATGAATTTTTTAATACACAATCACTTGATTTGAAATATTGCTTCATTTGAAAGGTAAGTTATGGCCGCAATCAATGATGAATCATTGTTTTCATATTGGTTCATTTGAAAGCTGCCACAATCAACTTATATTGCTTAAAATAAGCACAAATGTGTAGACAGAAATTCTATCAATTTCCTGTCAAACAATATTTCTTATTTGTTACTTCAACAACAAATGCCTTTCAACATTGTATTGAATTTTTGTTTCAGGGTCGAAAGATGGTGGCTATACTTGTATAACAACCAGCAGGACAACTTATCTACATAATGTTCAAAATGTTTGGAAATTCTTCTTTTTTTTTCCATAAAAATGTCCCATTGTTGATAAATCACTAAAATTTCATAGTCAAGTAAATTCCATGTCAGTTCATGAGAATATTAGAATGAAACTGAGATAAAACAATCTCACAAATATCCAGTCACATATACACCTATCACAAATATCCTGTAGAAACTTACACAAGTTTATCACATATGTGAAATTCTCTCTTATGTGTGATATTGTCTGTTTGTGACAGCCTGTCCAGCAAGGAAACTCACACAAGGCAGTGAATGTGATATCAGTATTTCCATACAACATAACGGCATCTTTATATGTCCCAATCAGGCTGTGTCAGTGGTATAATGTCTGATCTACCCGAGCACCAAATAAATGCCGCCACGACAAAGGAATTTTCCATCCTGGAAGTGGTTTAATTATTTTTCCATCTTCATTTTTCTTTGGCTGAAAAGACAACAAATCAAACATTTTATGACTTAAAATCTTAAAATTAAAAAAGAGATATTCGGAAGTAATACTCTATCAAAAAAAATAATTCTATATGAATTCTCTGTGAGAACATTACAGTGATGTCACAAAATCTTTACTAGCTTTCCCTACAAGGATGAAAAGTGATTAACAAAATCTCAACTGGCTTTCCCTGTGAGGACCAAAAGTGATATCACAAAATCTGTACAGGCTAAGGTATGTTATAGAGTAATCTTGCCTAGTCTCCATTTTGTTTCAGTACCAACCTTCATGTCCACGAGATCGAGCCACATGTTTAGTCGAGACGCCAGATAAATAGCATCCTGAGCATTGTCTCCTTCTGAACAGAACAGCATCAAAACCAAAACTGGCATCTCCTTCCCACTGTAACAGGTATGTATTAAAAATGAAGGTAACATATTTATTCAGGAATAAGTCCAAATTCCTCCAGGACAATGATACATATTTGTTGTTAGTTAATCACCTAAAATGTAGTCCAAATCATTCTAACATTGTATCAACTTTTTTATATCGGTTTGGACTCCACAAATCCAGTATCCAGTATCTGGACTCAAGACCGATATAGAATATCAGAATAATTCAGTACAACCTTACTGGAATGAGCAAGAAGTAACATGTTTGTTCCCTGGGCTTTGTTCAGGATCACTGCAGTATGTCATATGTATACACTGATGCCTTACACCAGCTGTAGATATAAAGTGAACACAGACTAATAGCTTTTGTAACTTTCACATTAATACTGTTGAGACAGAGGGACATAATGTGGTAAGGCCGTTTCTCCATTACAGACTTTTTTTTATAAATACATATTGTCATGTGATTACACTATTAGTCTAGGAAGGATACAGACATGCCTCAGTACAGAGATAAACTTTATATACACTGTCTTGTTTGTGATCTCACACAGTACCAAGTATTAGATTGTTCTGTCCTGTATGATCTGTGTGGTACCTTTATGTGATATTTTTCCTGTCTTACCATTCCTCCAGTAAAGACTTGGCTATTCCACCTCCTGGTATGTATATATAATCTGGTTGTTTCTGTCCATTTTGAAGCTCTTCTGGGGTTGGAGCTGGAAATGTGTGCCTGCGTTCTAGATCCAGCCAATTAAGTGGAGCAGCACGCAGCCTTTGGCACGTTGAGGAGTCCTCCATGGACTGGGAGGCAAGGAAACGAAGTTGGTCTCTTCAAACAGATATATTGAATTTGAAAATTACACATTTTAACTTCTTCTAAGATCTACTATTTTAATTTGACCATCATTTGTTAATGACAACAAACTTAACAAATAAAAAAAAGTTATCAAGTAATCTTGCTGTACACTAATCATTGGTTGATTAAAAAAAACCCATCTAAATATGCATATCTGTTTATGTAAAGAACTCGGGAACATATTGCGATTCCAACATCAAGTTACAAACAAATATCATTACTCTGGGCCTCATATTTGATTAGAAGAAGTTTGAAATTGACCTTAACATGTTGAAAGTGGTTTAAGGTTTTAGCACACATTCACATGTTCTTTAAGGTACCAATCTGTGTTCCCTAAAACGAGTACTAAAGAGGGTGTTATTTTCGCAGGGTTGTATATTTCATTGTTCTTGGGTTTTTTTCAAGGTAGAATAATGATAAATAAAAATACTGCAAAACTGATTTATTTTGCCACACCCAAATTTTATCATTTCATATCAAATTAAGGAAATCTAATTTTAGCTTTGTCATATTTCTGCCACTAAAGTGAAAGAACTAAAAAAATATCAATTCTTTTTCAAATAAACATGAAGAATGAAAACACTACTTCCATAAAAAAAAAAATTCTTTTGTATAAAAGTCTTGACGAAACCACAAAAATTTAAACCAATTTCCAGTTCTGATATTGGTGTTTGATGAGATATATACTTTGCATGAGATGGCAGTTTTCATGATGAGGTCATATTGAAATTTACTTAAAAGCTCACCCCTGCAGCTGTACATCTAGTCTTTCCTCACTGCGACTGCTTGTCAGGATAACCAGCCTTGTAAAGGACATGCTGGTGACCCATTCTTTCAACCATTTTCTAAACATTGCCATTTTCCCCTGTAACAAATAGTATCATATAACACAGAACATAATGTAGTATATAATTTCATGTCTAACCACAACAGATTACTAAAATCATGATTTACCAAACATTACTGTTTTTTTCAGAGTTGTTTATAAAATTATTGTTAATCAAGGGATTGGAAATTGAAACCTAATACAAATGTCAACCAATTCTAGGATGAAGGATTTTTTGCAATAAGAGAGAATATATACAGAGAGTCACAAGGAAACCAACTTTCTAGATAGAGTAACAGTGATGTTGACTTTTGACGTCCAGACCACGAGAGAAATCTTAAGAAAGCACACACAGCAAGAAAGAAATGTACAAACTTAAGTTTGAAAGGCACCAGGCAGGTCAAGATGGGAACCAATTTTCTATTCCTAGTAATTGACTTTGAACTCAGACATTCTAACAGGAACTATAATCCAAAGTACACCTAATACAGAATTAAGTTTGTTGAGTCTAAGTGCAATCAAATTATTTTCATCGAAATCAAGTTTCTATTTATAGCATAGATGGTCTGGTCCTTCCACTTTAGACATAAAAGAATTCCACACAAAAAAACTATAAGTAAGTTTGGCAAACTCAAAGGAACTTGTGTCATTGTACAGAATTATTTGTTTAAATGACAAAACTGATGACCTACACTGACAAAATGATGGTCTTATCCTTCTGCCTTTCCACATATTACGATTCCAAGCAAGCACTCTCAACTAAGAAACTTTGAGAAGCTCAAAGGCACTTGATTCAATGCACAGAATTGTTTGTTCCAATGACAACACTGACAATTTTCTTTACATGATAAAACCACTGAATTGTCTATAACCAGAGATCAGTATTTCTGTCCTAAAGTTGATGTTTTCTTTGATGGTGTCAAATATGGCAGTTTTACGAAAAGTTTAAAGCAAGAAGGATGTATTTTTCATTACAATCATGAAATGAGGTAAGATTCCTCAAGGATTACTAGAATATACATACAATAGTTGTACCTATTATTCCTTACCCTGACAAATGGAGCCCTCTGCTGTATAACCACTACTTTGTGTTCAATGCTCTCATACACTGAAAACAAACACATCTCATCAATCAAAAGCTCTGGACACAAAGACTATCATTCTTTGTTTATGGTATGTTTGGACAAGAAACATGAACCACAATGTGTTCATATTAGAAATTTTATTTAACTTACCTTTGTTCATTATATCCAGTAGAAATTAAAATATCCAAAATTCTTAATTTTTCAAAAGAACACAAATTTACATTTACTAATATCTAATCATTTACCATATTGATGAATTATATTATTTAATGCTCAATTTTAAAAAGTATATTGTCATTTACAAAAAGTTAATCAAACAAAATAAACTTATGAACTTTACTAATACGCTTAATCAAAAACAAAAACGTTGAAATATTAAAGATATTGGAATGAAATCAACCCACCATCACAGCTAGTTACAAGTTTACAGTCACTGAAGTCTTCATGAGCAAATGGATCATTGCCAACCAGAGGGAGGATGCTTTCATGGTGGATATGACCCACTCGTTCCATCCATAGTGTCGAGATAAGCAGGTCCACAGCAAGCTGTCCAACATTTCCTACCGACACTGCTGGCTACAAAATATTCAAATATATTTCTCATTAATTTATCACACTTAATTAACTTTGTGGTAAATTACAATTTGTATCACCGACTTTATTCTCTATTGACTAAAGTGTAAAGCCACTGGGAGCATTTAGTGCAAATGTCAGAGATGAGCATGAGTTTAACCTTGATCAGACCTTTTTAGCCATACTTGAAGCAATGGAGGAGATAAACTTGAGATTTTTACGAAATAAAGGAAGCGAAAACTGAATTCTTCACATTTTGCGTAAACAAGTACAATGTTGCATGGGTTAGGCCTATTGGATCATGTCAAAAGTTAAAAAAAATATGTATATCTATTTCAAAATGACCCTGGATTTGAGAGACTAAATAATAGCTCAAAGCAATAATATGATGATTATTCCTGAAATTCATGACTGTTAAGACAAACTATTACTCATATGAAAGGTTGTGTCAAAAATGTTTAACACATCTGGTAAAAATCGGTTTCGTTAAAAATTAATAATTCTAAAATAAAACGGAGCTTTAATAAGACAAAGAAACAAGAAAAAGAAATTTCCGTTTCGGTCTGGCGCGATGGCAATTCAATAAGCCGATTATCCTTGGACCTCTTACCAGTTACTGTAACATTATAAGAAAAATTCGCACACTGTAAGAAAAGGAAATCTTACCATGATCAGGGTGTAGTCTCCCCATTCCCTTAATTTTCTTTTTGGATCCGATTGTATAAACATGGTCAAATTTTAAGAATGCTATTTAAATCAACATCAGTACTTCATGTAAACAAAAGCATCGTCATGCACCGCACATGGAGGCAGCCATTATCAATATTACTTTACACGAGATTTCTTTATCTTTTCCTGTCGGATTATAGCTAAAACTTGCATTCTGCTGTGTATTTATGATTTCAGTTGATAATTATTGATTAAGTTAGGGTTTCTTATTCAAATAGAGTGAATATCAGTAATGTCAACGACCTCAGGATCATCAAAATACATTCGTTGAAAATATATTACTGTTACCGAGATGTTGAACAGATAGCATTACACAACACCGGAAGAGAAATCTTGAGGCGTAAGTACCGGTGAAGTAATAGTGAATCTGTGGCTCCAGCAAGGCTATACTTGAACTATATCGTCTTTTCCAAAGTGATACGAAAAGAAAAAAACTCTTCACTAAACATGTTATGAATGACAGCATTGTCTGCACATTTGTCATGCCGCGGTTATAGGACACATTTCTGAGCACTGTATGAAAATATCAACAGTGTGCTGATAGTTCTTTATTTTAAAAGTCGTCTTTGGCAACGGGACAGTTATTTTATTTCTTATATCACAAGTTACAGGACAGTTTATTTAAAAAATCATATTTAAATCGGTTACTGCGGTTGGGTTCAATGCTGGGGACATACTAAAACACTGAACGATGTACGGAACAATATTCGTTAATAATTTTGAGCTATTACTTATTGAATCGTCATGTTTACGCTATATTTTGGTCATTAGTAAGGTAAAGATTGTAAGACCGGCCCGTTTGCACTAAATCCCAGTCAGAAGTAAGCTGTCGCTTCTTGGTCCACCGTGTCCGCACTATATCCCGGTCATTAGTTAACTATCACTTCTTGGTCTGTTCGGTTCGCACTATATCTCCGTCATTAGTAAACTACCCCTTGTTGGTCCATCACGTTCGCACTCTATCCCGGTCATTAGTAAATCGTCCCTTGTTAGTCCATGATGTTCGCACTATATCTCCGTCATTAGTAAAGTATCCCTTGTTGGACCGTCCTGTACGCACTATATCTCCGTCATTAGTTAACTGTCCCTTGTAGGACCGTCCGGTTCGCACTATATTCCAGGCATTCGTTAACTATCGTTTTTTCCCCAAACAACTCTGTTATTACTCATCCTAATGTATCACGGAAACTATCGTCTCTAATTAGTTTGTCATGGAAATCATTGTCATTAGTTGGTTTGTCACATAAACCATTGCCATGGGTTGTTTTGTCTTGAAAACCATTGTCATTGGATGGTTTGTCTTCGAAACTATTGTTATGGGTTAGTTTGTCTTGGAAACCATTTTTCATGGGTTGGTTTGTCCCATAAACCATTGTCATTCTTTGGTTTGTCACATAAACCATTGTCATTCTTTGGTTTGTCCCATAAACCATTGTCATTCTTTGGTTTGTCACATAAACCATTGTCATTCTTTGGTTTGTCCCATAAACCATTGTCATTCTTTGGTTTGTCCCATAAACCATTGTCATTCTTTGGTTTGTCACATAAACCATTGTCATTCTTTGGTTTGTCACATAAACCATTGTCATTCTTTGGTTTGTCCCATAAACCATTGTCATTCTTTGGTTTGTCCCATAAACCATTGTCATTCTTTGGTTTGTCACATAAACCATTGTCATTCTTTGGTTTGTCACATAAACCATTGTCATTCTTTGGTTTGTCCCATAAACCATTGTCATTCTTTGGTTTGTCCCATAAACCATTGTCATTCTTTGGTTTGTCCCATAAACCATTGTCATTCTTTGGTTTGTCCCATAAACCATTGTCATTCTTTGGTTTGTCCCATAAACCATTGTCATTCTTTGGTTTGTCACATAAACCATTGTCATTCTTTGGTTTGTCCCATAAACCATTGTCATTCTTTGGTTTGTCCCATAAACCATTGTCATTCTTTGGTTTGTCCCATAAACCATTGTCATTCTTTGGTTTGTCACATAAACCATTGTCATTCTTTGGTTTGTCCCATAAACCATTGTCATTCTTTGGTTTGTCCCATAAACCATTGTCATTCTTTGGTTTGTCACATAAACCATTGTCATTCTTTGTTTTGTCACATAAACCATTGTCATTCTTTGGTTTGTCATAGAAACCATTGTCATTAGTTGGTGTGTAATGGAAACCATTTGAGTACATTCACGCAACAGCTATGGCCATCCAAGTACGGTCTAGCTCTTCATGCATTCGAGACGAGTGCCTGAGTTGAGTGTGTGTTTGTAGATACTGCAATATGTTCTTGTAAGCCTCATTGTGGTAGTGTGGGTGGGCCAACTTTATAGTGTTATCAAACTGAAGTATACTGTCGGAGACACCGAGCAGGTGACTCTTTCGTGGTAACATGAACCTCGAACATAGTTTCAGGCAACATTGTCTCAATTCACCAAAACATTTGCTGATTGGGAAAATGCTTGGCGAATGGCGTCAATGACGGAGAGGTATTTTGTATACTCGGAGTGTCAATAGCTGTATATTTTGACCCCGAGTGTTTCTGTTGCGGCTGTTTCTGCAACTGCTTCTCTGAGTCATTACAGTATTGGAGAAGCAGTTTTTCCTACAAATTTTCTGCTTCGTATAGGCTTTCACTCATGGCTGTGCCCCACCCCCTTCGATTTCATAGTGTAAGTTGGTCAAACCGAAGTGTAGATACTTGCATTTGGATGAGTTGAATTCTCTGACCATCGTCGATAATAAGCTATGCTGTTGTCGTCAGATGTTCCGGGAGATCAGAAACAAGACACTCACGTGGATGATTCCTCTCTTAATTGAGTCCAAGTTTGTATTCTGTTCACTGTCTTGTTTCACGTCTTTTCAACACACTTTACTTTGTACAATCTCTTAAATACACATAGTCTTCAATAATAAATAAGAAAAATCTTAAATCTCAAATGCCTTAGCGAGACAGCCGACTTAACTGCAATAAGAGTCGAAATTATGCTTCAAGTAATCTTCCAATCTGCGATTCTAGCTCCGTGTCTGTAGATTTCCATTCCTTATCAATACAAAAGTTCAAATACACACTTTCGTCGGCGTGCAATGTTTACTATCTGAACTGCATACTAGATCAATCTTATAACGTACCTTAATATAGCTTAAGGAAATATAGACAGTTTTGGCATGTTTGAGTAATATACACTCGAACCTTGTTATCTCGAACTCATATAATTCGGACTTCGTTTAATTCGAAACATTTCTTCGGTCCCTGCCTTATTTTACACAAACATTCAAAGTCATTGAAATGGATTACTTGGTTATCTTGAAGTTTTTTCCGTGGTCCCATCGAGTTCGAGATAACGAGGTTCGACTGTAAGTATATATTATTTGCCAGAAATGCGGCAAACTAAGAGCAAATAGATTTATTTGCAGTTTGAGCTGATCTAACATTGAACGTCACCCTTTATGTTTCATATAATGTTTTCTGTTCAGCTGTTGTTCGGTGTGACATTTAAGAATCTTTCTTCCACGTAGATCCCTCGGTTCTCGTATCACCATTCCGACCTTTCACGATATTGACTATACGATTATTGCAATACTTGATGCGACGAAGTTTTGAAAGTTTTAAATTCCTGGCTAATTCTTTTCTGTATGTTTTGTGTAAGTAATTCATACTGTAGGTAATATCAATAACAGTATATTTTGCGTGTCATGCGAATATCTTAATGCCTTTTTATTTGTATTTAAGGAGCAGTCTTAAGATTGAACATTGGTGATTATGACGATGCGGGTGGCCGTGATAGGAGCGGGAGCTGCAGGCCTGTGTGCCCTTAGGCACCTCAGCACCAGACAGCCGAAGTTCCAGGCTGTGTGCTTCGAGCAGAATAGTCGTCTTGGTGGCACTTGGATTTACACTGACAAGACAGGCGTGGATGATCACGGTCTCCCCATCCACTCCAGCATGTACAGAAATCTGAAGTGAGACACTGATTATACCTGACGTCACATATGTATGATATAACAACCAACACCAATAAAACCAGTTAATCTGTCAATCATTTTACCACAATATCTGTCGTAAGGAGAAGGATGTTTTGATGAAGTGTCATTTTATTAAGATGTATTGTATTACGGTCCTTTCTTGTAAACTGTGACATTGTACGACACAATGTCTGACCAGTGTCCGTTCTGGATTTAGGTATATTTGTCCACGTGCATCATTAAACCGCCACAAACGTTAGACATATGATATATTGCATCTAAAATTAAGATTTCATAACGTAAGAATCTTTATTCACCAATATGAACATTTCTATCGGGTTTTTTCATCAGGACGAATCTTCCGAAGGAAGTGATGGCCTTTCCTGATTTCCCATTCCGGAAAGATCTACCATCTTTTGTACGACACGAAGACATGTTAGAATATCTAGAGAGTTACGCAACTTCCTTTGATTTATTGAAATATATCAAGGTAAGTTGAACGTGTTTTTTCCTCTTGTGTTTCATATAAAAGAAGGATGAAAGACCCTCGTATTCACTTTTACAATTTGTTTTCAACTGTGGTTTGATTATATGAATACTATAAGGAAAGAATGATATTTTTAAAACCTTGATCTGATGTATGGCTTACTAGTTCTCGAAGACTCGTATGTGAAAAGGAAAGGGATATTTCAAGCGATAGTAATAATTAGAATAAACGCAAATTATCCTGGCCATAATTTCATAACTTCTGACGAATATGCGAAAAAAGTACTTTTTACTGAAGAGAGATTAAAACCGATGTACATCTTTGAATGTGTGAAGTGCCTGCTTGCATATGGAAACCAATATGTGTTAAAAATTTAAACTTCAGTTCTCTACGACAGTAAATAGTGTTAATCCCCTAAAGTCCCCTGACAAAGTAACGTGGCAGGTGACCTACAAGGACTTGGTAAACTCCGATGTAAGTCCTGTCACAGAAACGTTTGATGCTGTCATGGTTTGTAATGGGTAAGTGTCTATAATGATATTGATTTGGAAGATTTTTTTTTGCTAGACTGAAAAAACATCAATAAAATACCAACATGGCAACATAATCATAATCCAAACTCAAATTCCACAAAACTAGGACAAAATATGAACACAAGAAAAATTACACGGAGACTCCTGAAAAATAAAAGACCATGTGTTCCAGAAGAGTAAGCGTCTTCTGCTTCACCGACGACACCCGCCATGTGAACCTTCGTCAATCCAAGTGAGTAATGTCACGTGCTCAAATGAGAACAAAGTGTTCAACAACGGAACCAACAGGCAAACTAACGAGCATCAAATCAAATGATTGCTTCATATAGCCGTCGTTTGACTGAAGATTTGATACTCTTTGCCATTTATATATTTTTCTTTGGGAATAAAGCGTTGCCATTTACACTTCTTAAATTAAAGGACTAATCAATCACAATATTACATCGTGTATAAAGTTTGGTAACACTGTCAATAACCAGATAACGTTGTAATTAGATGGCACTAACATCAGACGCAATAACAAATAACTAGATAACACAATGTAACAAGTTGTATGATGATGCATAGTGAAAATTAATAAATTACCCTGAAGTGAATAGAATTGGTTGTCATCTTATCATAGATGGGTATTCTGGAACTGTACTTCCCAATTCTGCTTCATCGACAACAGCCTTGAAATTCTAGATCAATCCGACTATTGTCAAGTATAATTTCAACCTTCGTGTCAAGATCTTTCCCTATGACAGGAAAAAAAATTGATAATACTGATAATTCCTAAAACGTTTAATACACATACCAATCTTTTGATCATTAGTAAAGTTATTGCCATCAGCTTTTAAAAAATCGAACAACCAATTGTGCTGGGGGGAAATCTTGTATTTGTAGCAGATTTCTTGTTTTTAATGTCTCTCCTTAAGACAACTTTACAACCCGCACCTACACATCTACCTCTCATTGTGAGAACTATACTGTATTACGTGTTTAAAGTCTCTGTCAGTAGAAAATGTAGAAAGTAATGTCAGAAATTAACACTTTGCACAAATGGTAAAGTTTCGATTATTGAGGAGAGTTAAGGTAAGAAATAAAGCTATATATATGTTAAATAATTTTGAATATGGAAGACATTCAAAATGTCTTTTGTTCACAAAGCTTAACTTTCAACACAGAATGCTTAGAAAATCAATAGTATAGGCGGCATACTTACTGTTTTAGTATTTTGGTATTTAGTTTATGGTTCGAACATTCCTAGTTCGTTAAAATAATTATTTTTTCTCTGTTTTGTGACAATCGGCGTTCATAGTTTGGTAATTAAGTTACGTAATTAGTTAATTAGGCAAATGCATCTTCGGTTAATTTAGATTAGATGTAAAGTCAATAGAACCAAGCTTGATGGCACCAAGCAATGTTTCGGTGAGTGGTCTCGTCGGATGAAAACATCCTTAGGCCGCCCTCTATAGGAAGTAAGCATTGCTGGAAAACCCACCTTTATGACAAAATATTTCGATGCAATCTTGTAAGAGACAAAATTGTACTGTGGTCAATTTCTAGAAATAATCAGGTTATTTCTGTAATCTATGATCAGAGTGATTGTATTCATTGCCGAGACTTGTCTATGTAAAGAGACGATATTAAATCGCGTAGCCTTTGTTTTATGGCTTGCATTAAATACGCCGGTGTCATTAGGAAATATCTAAACCAATTTACCATGTTAAAAACTTTGTTATTGAAAATTCTTATTATCGCAGCAAAATGTTGAACCATTTTTTTTGTTGAAGGAGTTGAAAGCTGTCGCAAACACAAATACTTCGATTGAAATCAATATTTGTTTTCTTGGTTTGCAGTCATTACTCCGTTCCACTTATACCAAACATTCCTGGACTGGATAATTTCCGAGGTAAAGTAATGCATAGCCATGATTATCGTTATCCGTCAGAGTTTGAGGGACAGCGTGTGGCGTGTCTTGGTGCTGCAGCCTCTGGTCAGGACATCAGCGTGGATGTGTCAACTGCTGCCAAACAGGTAGGTTATCCATGTAAAACAAACCCCATTGAAGAACAAATACTATTAAGTGGGCACCTGGTATGAATGTAAATATAGATTATCATATGACCATTTGATATCACACCGAGAGTCGTTATATCATCCGGAGGACCGAAGGCCTGAGTGCTGATATCAGGACTCGAGGGCTGATTAAGGATGTAACTTCAAAAGAGTCTTTTTATCATACTGTTTGCTTTATTTAAAATAAACAAGATACAAACAAAAAATTAAAAATTAAATCAACATCATAACAATGAGACACTCTTTATAGATATCCATGCTTAGCTGTTTATGTTCGTAGACGACAGCTGCAGGCGTTCGGAACATCTCGCCTCGATTACAGTGCTTAAACTGTTTTTCGTAAGAAAAATAGCATTTCTTTCTGGCCAACAATATTTATGTTCAAAACATTCAGTGATAAGCGGAAGCGGCAAAATATAAAAAAAAACATTGAGAGGGGTATGATATCGCTTTCTAAGGGAAGTAATATCGCTTTCAATGGGGTGTGATATCACTTCAGGGTGTGTGGTATCACCCAGGCCGATATCAACTTGTAGCAATTTCAGACACACTAAAATGGTTTTATCGGTGATAAACATATGGCATATATTTCGTAGTCTCTCACAAATACAAGCTCTTAACACATGCAACTAACTCGCATACATAGGAAGGCAGTCCTTAAATGACCATCGTTGTTGCTAGGACGCTAAATAACACGAAAACAAGCAAAACCAAGTGAAATACACCTCCTCTATACCACCATCTTTAAAATACAAGGAAAAATAGAGGGTTAATACAAGTACAATAAAGGAGACAGATTCGTAATCGAATTTTTCTAATGTATTGGTGAAATATTTCCATGCCTTAAAGTTGGAGAATAAAAATTAACACGAATGATAATACCCTTCAATATAATGGATTGAAAAAGACACACAGTTGAATAAGGGTTTTCAATAAAATGGATTGTACAAAAGACACAGGTGAATAATAGGCTTGAATAAAATGGATTGTACAAAAGACACAGGTGAATAATAGGCTTGAATAAAATGGATTGTACAAAAGACACAGGTGAATAATAGGCTTGAATAAAATGGATTGTACAAAAGACACAGGTGAATAATAGGCTTGAATAAAATGGTTTGTACAAAAGACACAGGTGAATAATAGGCTTGAATAAAATGGTTTGTACAAAAGACACAGGTGAATAATAGGCTTGAATAAAATGGATTGTACAAAAGACACAGGTGAATAATAGGCTTGAATAAAATGGTTTGTACAAAAGACACAGGTGAATAACATCTTTCAAAAATATGGATTGTACTAAAGACACAATTGAATAACGGCTTTCAAAAATATGGATTGTTCTAAAGGCGCTATTGAATAACGGCTTTCAATAATATAGATTGTATAAAAGAAACGTAAGTGAATAATACCCTTACAAAAGATTGTACATAATACACAGAGTTGGATAATACCCTTCAATACAACAGCTTGTATGTATCATTTTTGAGTGTCCAAGTACAATAGCGGATGATGAGTTTAAAGTTTTTGTAATCCAAATTGATTTTTATTTACCCAAATGCCATACGTCATCAATTATCGTCCGAAGATTGCGTTAATACATGTATATTTATGATATCTCGGTTGTGTTATCTGTTTCAGGTTTACATGTGTCATAGGAAACCAAGTCTACAGACGTATCTTCCGGATAATCTAGAACAGAAACCCGGGATAAAAAAAGTCAAAGAGCACTCTGTTGTGTTTGAAAACGACGAAGAAGTGGAGGTGGACGCTCTAATGTTCTGTACAGGCTATAGATTTTGTTTTCCTTTCCTCTCTCCGGAATGCCACGTGTCAACAGAAAATGAACGTATTACGCCACTATACAAGCATATCATTCATACTAAATATACTTCTTTGTCACTGATTGGAATTCTAAAGACCATTTGTCCGTTTCCAAACTTTCACAATCAGGTACTGTTTGTGATATCAGCTCTAGACGGCACAATGAATCTACCAGATTGTGAAGAGATGGAAGCGGACACAGCTAAAGACTTCCATAGTAGGTTGGAAAGGGGCATGCCAGAACGGTATGCTCACCACATGGGCACACTGCAGTGGCGTTATAATGATGAAATAGCAGACCTTGCGGGATTCGAGCGTATTCCACCTGTTGTTGAGGAGCTGTATGATACAGTACATATAACACGGGTTAAGGACATTGTACACTACAAGTCTGTAAACTATAAACTTACTGGACCAAATACTTATGAAACAATTAATGAGGAGAAAGTAAAAACGTGATTATCATGTAATTATCTTCCTAGTCCGATTTTAAGATTTACTGAGTAGACGACCATTTCTCTGGTTTGTCTTCTTCATTTGGACATGTTTTGCCATTATTAGTTATCTTAATGTGCGTGATTGATGATTTTAAAATGTCAAATGTGCGCATATACTCAAGAAATAAGAAATAAAATAAGATAAAATAATAATAAAAATACAAACATGTCAACACAATCATAACCCAAACTCAAATTCAATAAAACTAGTGAAGAATATGAACAAAAGAAAAACTCACACGAAGACTCCTGAAAAAGTACAAGGAGAATAAAACAAGACATTCCGGAAGAATAAGCGTCTTCTACTTCATCGAAGACACTCACCATGTACATCTTGTTCAATCCAAGAAGGAAATGTCACATTCGAAATGAGAATAATGTATACGACAACGGAACCAAAAGGCAAACTAATGAGCTTCAAACACAGTGTGGTGTACAGGGTCGAAAAATAAAGTGTTCTTATAGCCGAACATTCCAGGAACTGAATGACAAGTTAACTTTAAAAGGACAATTTCAAGCACATCATTATTCATGCTTACAGATGTTTCTGAAAAGTCCATATTTGACAATTTTGAAAATTATCCTAGATAATATCAAATGAAGATCATACTATTATGGAAGCCGATATCCTTCTGGGATCTCTGTTTATTAAAAACGATTTCAAATTATTTTGCAAACCAGTTATTTTCATTGGATATTAAGTTGTCCAGTTGTCTCGAATCCTCATTTTTACCGAATGCAGGTTTTGGTTGATAGGACTGATCAGCCGATATTATTTGATAATGTATATGTTTCAGTAAAATAAAATGATTTTGTATTATGGTAATGTTCTGGTCAACTGCAATATTCAGGACATGCTTATAAATGTTATATTCACATGAAATTTCAATTGATAAAGGAACAAATACATGCATATTATATTTTACATTTATAATGACAGATTACATAATTTTTGTAATAAAGTAGACTAGAGCGTCAGTAAACGACGCTGTTGTAGTGGCATGATAGTGAAGATATTCGTCTATCAAAGTCGACTCAAAAATAAATAAAAATGGATAAGACGTCGATATGTCTGATAAACATCCGTTATTCAAGTTTAATTACTCACAGAAAGCACACCCCTTTTTTTGTAATATTCATTAAAAAATTGCTTTATGACGCAGACAGCCGCTATAACTTTTTGATACTTATATACAAAAATGTACTTACGGGATAGTTTACCATCCTCTGCCACGAAGAACCGTTTGTATTTTTAAGGGAGATAATCGCACTAGCTTGTGCTGTGAACGAGACTTCCCTGCAAAATATGTACAGTTATAGACCTTATTTACTCTCTTATCCTAGATATTTTAAAAAGTAGTTTCGTCAATGTGGAACCAAAAGATAACTTGCTACATGTGGTCGCTATTCAAAAATTAGAAATACTTTATACCGGAAAATAACTATTTGATTAATATGTAATTTTAATTATTTGCCTTCTACGTTCTTGTAACTACTTACACGCTTATATAATGTAGCGTCACAGATTTGTCCAAGCCTGTATGGCTAAATTGCATCTAATTTTAAATTTTATTGATTTTTTTTCGCATATTCCTTTTTAAATGTGAAAACGTTACTAGTTTATGGAAACTCCAGTGAAGAAAAATATTCATAATATTCCAAAAACATAAAAAGACCCATGACATTTCTCAAGGGAAAGTTTCCGTCAAGCAGAGTCAGTTATCCAAACATCACGTGTCCAAGCTAAGTAATAATGATGATGGTTTTATTTCGTATTTAAGATACTCAAATTATCTATAATTTTTGACCAGGAAGCAATTAAAAAAGAAAAGGCAGTCATTTGTGTTGAAGACAACGAATTATTCTTTAATGAGATGGTTCCCGCACAGTCTCGTGAATAAAATACTTGCAACAAACAAGTTCCTTATCAGAATTATTATTGTGAAATGCAGTAAATGAGTAAAATATTTTTGCAGAATAGGTGACCTGACGCAAATCTATGTAATTACATAGAAACTGTTTAAAGATTGTACAATAGACATACAAGTGAATTGCACCTTTTAACAAAAATTAAGGAAAAACCCAAACAGAGCCTAATTATGAAGCCTAATAATGACTCCATCACACAGCTGTTTCGTCCTAGGATTCGTCAGTGATGCTAGGGACCTATATTTTGAAACATAGAAGGTGACTAATGAAAATCCAAAGTAATCGAAAGAAATGCAAAGACCCGGATGGAGATGTGCACGATTCCAATAATTCTATTTATTTCGTAATGACTGAGTTATATCGTTATATCTGTGAATTAAAAAAAATCGGTTTGTTAGCAGAAAAGGAATATATTCTGTTGGTACCAAAAAAAGCATAAATGTTTATATTATATAGACTATTTTTGGACATGTATTTTTTCTATTATACACACGTGTGCAATACATTGAGAATAATATTATCTAAAGAGATATGTTAAGAAGTGAAGGAAGTGTGTAGATTTCTGCATAAGAGCGTGTAACTCATTATGTGAATAATATTGAAAGAAAATGGTTGAAGAGAAAGAATCATGATATGTATTTTGTACCTTGTTGAGCTAGATTTGTATATTTTCTTCACATTTTAATTTATTTGGAGCTTCAGCTTCGTAGCGAGAAACGGAAGTAAATAATTGTTAAAAGAAAAGTGAAAAGTGCATTTCAGTATCAAAATACAAATTAAGGATCAGATTCAGTATATTAAAGTAATGGATTTAATGGCATCAAACAGCTCTTTCGTCCTTTAAGGGTAACTCAAGTGTCTAAAGTCAATAGCATCAAAATGGAGAGATGCACTTAGGCATAATGTATCATAATTTTAGAATATAGAATAATTCCAAAATACACGTGTACTAAACTGAGCAAAATTAATTATAACGTGGCACTTGGGTTAAGTAGTGCTGTGGGAGAATACATATACAGAAGGCCTCGGCTTTCCTGATATGATTTATGCGAATATAAAACGATCAGGCGAAGATTTTGAAAGGAGTGCGTTCAATGTAATTGTTTCGATATTTGTCATGCTTAAGCGAAGGTCACAGAAACGTAGAGTTGCTGGCGAAGTTGTTGATCCGAGATTAACACTTCTATTGAATTATCTTCGACGTGAAGTTGTTTTAGGCAACGTAGAACGTGTGGTTATAATAAATGTAATAAGTTGTCAGCTCTGATGGCCGAACAATCTGTTTCAAAACAATAAGTATTCATTCAAATGTCCAGAACACATATGTTACCAATGGGAAAAAGGGCAATTGACGTATATTGTAAACAGATGCTTGAACAATAGGATGAGGTTGCATATAAAAGCTGATGTTGAGAAAAGTGACGAAAATAAACTGGTAAGTTTTATGATAGATGGTAGGTCTCTTATAAACTAGTGTGATATTTTAACTTAGTTAATATCCAGGAACAGTGGATACCATGTCCTGATATCTCTGATATCATGATGATGTTATCCTTATATTGTCTTAAAATATCTTAAAGAAATTAAGATAACGTGTTCATCCATATAGCATCCTAGGGATATCCTATAGAGATGATGATGGCGTTTTCATCCTAAGAGTGTCTTAAAGATATTTTATAGATATGATAGCGTTCATTATGGTATCTTAAGGATATCGTATAAATATCTTGATAAAGTTATCATCCTTATAGTATATTAAGGATATATTTGTTTGGCAGATAGCATGAATATTTTCATCCTGATATTTATATAATGCTAATTGTTTGGAAGTGCTGTATTTAAATAGTAATGATAAACTGATTTGAAACAATACCACAAAATTTTAGTCTTCTGTATGTATTATGCAAAGACAAGGTCTTTCCTCTTTAAATGTTATTTTTACTTTGGTAAAGCGTTAGATTTGAAGTGTTACCTCTTTTATGAAAATACTAATTCATACTTTGTTACTCTCCGTATCGAGAGATATATTAGGAAATGCATTGTCACAGTGAATTTTATTAGAAATCATCTCTTGACTACACGTAAGTCGATGATCGCAAGCAGATTATATTACTCTATGAAGAAGCAATGGCTGTTAAGGTATTTGAAAGTAGTTCATATTAGAAAGGAATCTATGTTGAAAGTAATTAATTTCCTTTCTCTTTAGTTTATATAATTGATTAGACAATAATTTTCTACTGTTTCTGATTTCAGTGCAATCTTCACAGTCATGGAGTGGTATACCTTGTTACCCGTTTTCACTATTTTGCTCATGATTTCTATATCAGATGGTCGCAGTAAGTAACTTTCAAAATTCTCTTCTATTTATGTGTAGTTATGATCAATTTACATTCCATTTGCTGTATGGTTAATCTGCTTGTCGACAATGAACGTCTTGATGAATTTCTTAACATCAAAGTGATCGGAAGTTTTTTCCCTAATCTCTTTGTGTGCTGTATGTACATGATAAACAAATTTGTTGTTGTTTATATTTACAGGTCCACCTATGTGTGAATACCAGGGATCTTACTACTACAGTGGACAATCTGTTACTTCTAATTGCGTTACAACTATGTGTTACCGCGGGAGGAAATGGATAATAAAAGAAGCTGGTATGTCATGTCAATTATTTCAAACGGATATCGGATACATAATGCTTGAGATATAAACATGAATCATTTCATTTTTGCTTTACTGACCTTGGTTCCAGGTTGTAAGTTCGGTGATACGTGTCTGGGGAATGGGGAGATAGTGTCTGCAGGAAAGTGCCGGAAAGCACAGTGCAAGGTAAACAAGAGAGGAACGAAGAGCAAGCTTGTGTATAAACTAGGTAATTTGTTTGACTACTTGTATTTTGTGTTGTCTTTGTCTCAGCGTTTCAGACCTCGACTCGTTTACACAATTGATCGATATGGAAAAGAAGTTCCTATAACACAACGAGCAGGAGATAATAGTGTGACGTTTCGATGACTGTCACCCTCATCAGACAAATGACCATTGTGAAGTTTACTAGCACTGACGTTCGTAGTGTTTGTGCGAGATGACTATACTATAATCCTGCATACACTAAGGTAGAAACAGTGTGACGAGATGATAATAAAAAGTCATATGGTCAAAAGTACAAAACAAAAAAAACAAAAACAAAAACAAAACAAAACAAAAATTAAAAAATTAAAAAAAGGGAAGAACGTACTGTTGTAGTTGAATTGTTTATGGGTTGTTTAACACTTGGTCGTAGATATACTAGAATCTAGCCCCTGTCGTCCCATTTTGAACTGGACAGCTGCGTCGTCTCAAAGTGTTTTTCATGTCAACTGTATTTAAGATTCATTGTGATCTTGTGAATTGTCTACCTTCTGTATATTTCTGCGTCTTTATGATGTTCAAGTAGGGCCAAAAATCTACCTACTCCGATATACAATGCACCAAAGTTCTTGCATCCGATCCTGTATCTACATTCTGTCTTTTACTTTTAGGGTAGACTTAAAAGGGAAGTCTTGTAAGATTTCAGGAATGTGGCAATAATATGACCAGAGTTAGTCCTCTGCAAGGTTTCTGACAGGCCTTTGGTGTAAGGGATGAATGTCCTTTCTTTTTGTTCTTTTCCTTAATATTTCGTCTTTTGGTCTTCCTTTCCCCAAATTAGACTTTCTGTATTTTCTAATCATGTATTCATGGCGATATCGATGTATTTTTTTCTTGTTTTTTTTTCTTCTTCTATGACAATAGTTGCACATTTGACAAAGTTCTACAACGCCTAGCACCTGGTGGAAGGGATGGTGCGATAGGAAGATGAGTTGTTGGTCGTTTGAGTTATTTTCATATAAACCAATACTTTGATAATACCGTCCGTTATCTTTCTTTACTAGGAGAGTGTCATGGAATGGCATAGCGCCATCCACTGATTTCTTCCTCACATGTGAATTGGTAGCCGTTAGTACAAAGTATTCCATTGGGATTAGTAAGTCCATCGTGGGCTGTGGCGAGTTTCGGTCTTTGTGTTGTTCTAGAAGTGCTTACTGCAGTTTACTGCCTATGACCAAGTGTTAAGCAAAACAAAGTCGAATCGACTAATCACATTATTAATATTTCTGTTTTTTGTTCTACTCTTTGTTCTACCTAAGTTTTGTACACGACATGCGCCAATACTAGTACGTTTCACGGAGATCATTTGGCTGGTTCGAGTGACCATGTAATCATCGAAACGTCACACTTTCTAATGATTGTGTTGTAAGAACTTCTATTCTGTTGTCAGTATCAACCTGTAGGAAATGTTCTGTAAATTGGTATAGCTCTCCCATGTATTGACCTACGTACTTTAAAAATAGTCTTTATTCATTAAACATCCATGCTCATACAATTGTGATTCATATCATCGAAATCATCAGACAAGGCAACAACATGACTACAAAATAACTGCATCACTCATAGCCCTAACGAGGTATGAAAGATTGATACAAAAATCCTCATTTTCAAACTTTTCTCAATTTTATTGCAATTGCGTTTGAATATCTTAGTTATAAACAGAAGTTATAAACAGGAAATCTATCTATGATATTAATGTTCTTTTCGAATTGTCGTAGAAATCCTTTGGTCGTTTCATGTGATACGTTTAGGTCAGTGTTGCATGATAAAGTTCGTTGGAAGTTAGGCTTACCGATAGGTTGACAGCTTACTTAATATTCAATCCGTGTAACAGATTTTTTTAAATGTGTAGTGCTTAGTGACATCAACGGCTTAGCTTTTGTTATAAAGACTAGAAAAAAATAGGTGCTATAAGGTTAGAACGATGAGAGCTATCTATGTAATCCTGTGAGTTATTATCTCACCCGTTTTGTATCTATGATTATTTTCACTTGTGTTGTACATAATATACGGCCCTTTTTCGGCTAAACAACTTTCCTGTTAGAGCCATCGTTTTTCACTGTCAGGATCTGTCTACTTTTTATTCGTTTGATATTTTTGTTTGTTAATTCTAATGCATCAAATAACAACAATAATTATGTAAATAAAAGTAGTGCTGCGTTTTTGTGCCACCTACAATAACTGATCCTGGTCAATCAACTCGGTTTAATGACATAGTGATACGACAAGTGTGGCATTAAAAATCAAAATAATATTTCAACGTATCCATTTAGATTTATTGTTTGTGATTCTTCTGATGATATGCCTTATCAGGTTATGAATAACACTAAAATTTATTAATTGTGCAATCGGATTTATCTTCTGCAATCAGTGACATTGTATTCATATTCGATAGTTTATTATTTCAAAATGTGGCAAAATTAAACACAATGTTATTTTTGTTTGCACAGTTCGCATATTTTTTATCTGTTTATTAAAAATATTGCTGTCCTTTATTTTCTTTATTAAATCAATAAATAATTTGCTTTCGTTTTCCTGTATGCGGCATATGCCGAAAAAAAGAAATATACACTTTCATCCATTTTCTGCTCTTTATCAATGGAGAGTATGGGAATAGTTTTAGTTATTCCTTCTGTACATAAAAATCAAAGGACCTTGAAGTCGTGAGGTTTGTATAATCTGTTTATGATATACACACGTATATACATATATGTAGTTGATTAACGTTATTGATATTTAGATACTTTAACTTCGACGATGTTTCTTTCTGTAAGTGGTAAATGGATTATTTTCATATTGCTTCTTCTGGTAGGATGTCAATGGAATGACCAGTGTAAAAAGAACAGAGACAGATGGACGGAAGATTGTACCAGGTTCCAATGTAAAGTGAAAAGGGGCAAAGCTAAGGTCTCAATTGAAAAGAGATGTAAGTCATTTGTTTTATTACTTACGAAAAACTGCAAATTTCTTCAAAAGATTGAGGTATTGAATTTGTACATTAACAAAACACTTTTTCCTCAAACACAATGGCCTGTCATGGGTATAGCACATCTAATATTAAATATTTTTTTATCCATGTAAATTTACGATAATACTATCATTTGATAGAAACATAGATACTAATAATAAATCATCTCTAGCCTTAGCTGTCTGTATTACATATTGAAAGGTATGTTAACTTTAGTTGTCCTTATGATGTTGCAGCTTTAATTGTAATTACGTTATTATAGTTTTAGTTGTCAATACGATATTATAGTTTTAGTTGTCAATACGATATTATAGTTTTAGTTGTCAATACGATATTGTAGTTTTAGTTGTCAATACGTTATTACAGTTTTAGTTGTCAATACATAGTATAGTTTTAGTTGACAATACGATATTGTGATTTAGTTGTCAATACGATATTATAGTTTTAGTTGTCAATACGATATTATAGTTTTAGTTGTCAATACGATATTATAGTTTTAGTTGTCAATACGATATTGTAGTTTTAGTTGTCAATACGTTATTACAGTTTTAGTTGTCAATACGATAGTATAGTTTTAGTTGTCAATACGATATTGTGATTTAGTTGTCAATACGATATTATAGTTTTAGTTGTCAATACGATATTGTGATTTAGTTGTCAATACGATATTACAGTTTTAGTTGTCAATACGATATTGTGATTTAGTTGTCAATACGATATTATAGTTTTAGTTGTCAATACGATATTACAGTTTTAGTTGTCAATACGATATCATAGTTTTAGTTGTCAATACGATATTACAGTTTTAGTTGTCAATACGATATTACAGTTTTAGTTGTCAATACGATATCATAGTTTTAGTTGTCAATACGATATTACAGTTTTAGTTGTCAATACGATATTACAGTTTTAGTTGTCAATACGATATTATAGTTTTAGTTGTCAATACGATATTGTGATTTAGTTGTCTATACGATATTACAGTTTTAGTTGTCAATACGATATTACAGGTTTAGTTGTCAATACGATATTATAGGTTTAGTTGTCAATACGATATTGTGATTTAGTTGTCTATACGATATTACAGTTTTAGTTGTCAATACGATATTACAGTTTTAGTTGTCAATACGATATTGTGATTTAGTTGTCAATACGATATTACAGTTTTAGTTGTCAATACGATATTGTGATTTAGTTGTCAATACGATATTATAGTTTTAGTTGTCAATACGATATTGTGATTTTAGTTGTCAATACGATATTATAGTTTTAGTTGTCAATACGATATTACAGTTTTAGTTGTCAATACGATATTATAGTTTTAGTTGTCAATACGATATTACAGTTTTAGTTGTCTATACGATATTGTGATTTAGTTGTCTGTACGATATTACAGTTTTAGTTGTCAATACGATATTACAGTTTTAGTTGTCAATACGATATTACAGGTTTAGTTGTCAATACGATATTACAGTTTTAGTTGTCAATACGATATTACAGTTTTAGTTGTCAATACGATATTACAGTTTTAGTTGTCTATACGATATTACAGTTTTAGTTGTCAATACGATATTACAGTTTTAGTTGTCAAACGATATTGTGATTTTGTTGTCTAACATTATTGTATATTGATATTATAGCTTTAGTTGTTTATACAATAGTAAAGACAATGTTATATATACAATTTTGTAGCTTTAGTTGTCTGTGCAACAGTGTAGATATAGTTGTACACACGGTGTTGTAGCTTTAGTCGTCTTCACAACAGTGTAGATATAGTTGTACACACGGTGTTGTAGCTTTGGTCGTCTTCACAACAGTGTAGATATAGTTGTACACACGGTGTTGTAGCTTTAGTCGTCTTCACAACAGTGTAGATATAGTTGTACACACGGTGTTGTAGCTTTGGTCGTCTTCACAACAGTGTATATATAGTTGTACACACGGTGTTGTAGCTTTGGTCGTCTTCACAACAGTGTAGATATAGTTGTACACACGGTGTTGTAGCTTTGGTCGTCTTCACAACAGTGTAGATATAGTTGTATACACGGTGTTGTAGCTTTGGTCGTCTTCACAGCAGTGTAGATATAGTTGTACACACTGTGTTGTGGCTTTGGTCGTCTTCACAACAGTGATGAAGACGTTATACACATTATATTTCAGCTTTCTATGGCTATACACTATTTTGTATTTGATTCCGTACATGATTCGCATTACTTATTGAAAGTCCCGTTGTGTTAAGCTATTGTTTCTTTTTCTAGTTATTTCGTCCCTACAGTTTAACTTATCAAAATGAGTTGACACTGTCTCTGTGGTACGTGATATTAAATTGTCTTAAAATTAATATATTTTTTCATATTATTTTTACAATAAAGAATCATTGAATGTCCATATCTGTACCTTTTCGATATTCCGTTGTAGATTGTGAATGGGCGATCGACAAAGAGTGCTACAGGATGGGTAAAAAGAAAATGGATTCTTGTAGGCAGTACCGATGTCAGGAAGATTCTGAAGGGGCCTTAGGATTCATGTTAGTGTCATCAGGTAAGGATCTTTGAAGGGAAGAGATAAATATACTTATCAAACAAGTGGAAACAGTAGACTTCACCGGTTTAATAGACAAAAGATTTTCCTGATCAGAATAGTTCATAGGCTGCATGTCTATTAGTCATATTGCCTTTGCTGACTTCTTATAATTCATCTTAAAATGTATTGAAAATTATTAGGCCTTTTACATAATATCCAAGCGTTGAATTGTTCAAAATGAAAAAAAAAGAAGAAAAAAACCACACACACCAACAACATCACAAACCACCACCACCACACACAAAAATGTCGACTTCTGTTCTTTGACGATTTAAGCATGCCATATCCATGTAGCTTTGGTCTCTTGGTCATTCCATATGGATTTTCTGGTTAGTCCTGTAAAGAAATAAACTACATTGTTCCTGCACATGGTTTGATATATGACAAGGTAATGTATAAGTTTTAAACGCTGTTAAAAGGATTGCGTTTCATGAGATCTGTTGTTTCATTATATGTGATGTCAAACTTTTCTCGGTCAGGAGCTTATTTCTGACAATCATAGTTTCCATTTAGGATATGTGATGGTTTGCTAATAATTGACGAAATACTTTTATGCCATTTCCTACGAAAATTCTACATAATTCTACCTTAAATATCAACATGTATCACGAAGCTTTTTTATTATATGCTGAACGGTGTATGTTTGAATAGTTTTTCGAACAATACTATCATGAACCTTACATTCTAACACTGACTTTGCGATTTTCCAGGTTGCCTGTTAAATGGAAATTGTCTTCTGAATGGTCAGGAATACGCTGGTGACGATAAGACGTGTGTCTGTGAAGACGGGAACCTGATGTGTGTCGGTGTGCCAGTAACAGCTGTTTTAGACACCTCACCCCGACCACACCATTAATTGATCAAAGACGCACCAAAGGATTTCCGTATGGGAAAATGGTTGACTAATTGTTTCAAATAAAATGACTCTATCATACGACATTCGTTATTGCTTCATATTCAAAGGCCAAATACAGAGAATATGTCCTCGTTACGCTTCGCATATCACACCACATCAAATATCTCCAATTAGTTTAATACAACGGTAAAGTCTCAAGCGGAAATAGTACCAACTTTAAAAAAACAAGTTGAAAAAAATATCTGATCTCTTTCACTTGTTCATCTGACCCAAAGGATTAAGATGACCTCGTATTTCGACTGTCGTCCCGTACCGTGCGCAAACTTTTCAGATTTTCATCTTCTTCTCAGGTCCTTCAGTGGGATTCAGCTCAAACTCTCCCGAAATGATCTTGGTATAGTCATGACAAGTTAGTTCGAAATCCAACATGGCCACCATGTCCTATTTTTGTTAAGTAGGGAAACAAACAAAGAGTTGATATTTTTCGTCCATGTAAATACTATCAACATAACAGCCAAGGCAGCCATTTTGTACCCTGATTATGCGGTAATAGTTTTTCTGGATAGCACCTATTTCTTACACTTCATCGAAAGTTGCATCCGTTGGATTGAACTGAACATGCCTAAAATGCTACCGAAATCGTTTTGACTAAGTATTTTTCGCGCTTGCCACAAATTCAATACGGCCTCATTTCGAAACCTATTTCATGTATTTCCTCCAGTTTCACTGGTTCATTTGAACTGAAATGTTAAGAAACTGAAGGTTGTTTTTTAACTTGATGGGCTGAAAGTTTCATAATTGTTTCAATGATTCAATTACTACTACTGCTATTAACTTAGGTATAGATATACACTCACCTTTAAGATTTAAGGGTCTCTTGTTTTCCATTCATTTTCTATTTCAAAACAGTTGTAGGATATCATTTACACCTTGATGGTGTTGGTTGTGGTGTACAGTGTATAGGAAATGATTCATATTTCGTTATCATATATTTCGTGTCAGATAAAATATGTGTAAGGTTGTATGATAAAGACACTGGCATTCGTACCTATTGCTATGATAACTTAAATCCTTGGAGAGAACAGTATTTGTTTTAGCAGAAACATTTACTGGAAGGGCAAGCTCTGCATTCGTCTCTGGTATTCATTTACATTTCTGTTGTCATTACAAACTCAATTGATTCTATTTGCATATGGACATTGAACAAATGATTACATCTGCGTAATTACTCAGCGTAAACCAGTTTACCACCTTTTGACGAACTAGTCCATAACTTGAATCCAAGACAGTGCAGTTTTCCCATCAAAACATGCAATGAACTTCACAATCAAATCGAAGACAAAGAGCCATTGTTTGAAGATTTGAGACCGTATAATCCATAGATCTATGATGGCTATATGTAGAATAGCCATCATTTTGTTCACGTCGATCGTCGGTTCGTGGAGTAAAGATATTCCATCTGAGCAGACTTTGGTCCAACATCTAATGGGCGGATACGGAAGACGAATACTCTTAATAAAAGTGAACCTGTGGAAATACAGATAGGATACTCCCTGATGAAAATAACGCAAATAGACGAAAAGAATCAGGTATTTTACACAAAAGGATACTTCACGTTTGTATGGACTGATCTGTCACTTGTATGGGACCCCAATCGTTACAATGGGACAGATATGGTGTTGTCATCCTTATCAGATATATGGGTCCCCGATGTTGCTTTATATAACTCAGTGTCTGGTTCTGAATCATTACCTAACAGTCATGATAAAATACGTGTAAACAACAACGAAAGTATAAACAGGAGAAGTGCATCACTTTACACCACACTGTGTGACATATCGATCAGAAAATATTCTTTTGATACACAGACATGTTTATTCAATATTGGTCCTACCTATTCGCTTCCTTCGATGCAGATTAGCTATCCTGACCACGACAAAATTCGCGCTAACTTTTACCGTGAAAATTCCGAGTGGTCATTTAACAAGTCCTACATATGGTGCTATACTGACCAAATGTCAATTTATAATACCAGTATAACAGTGAAGAGGAAACCCAGCAAGTGTCTGATACGTACAGTACTACCCGTAACTCTACTCGCAATCACGAACCCGTTTACTTTCCTCATTCCTTGCGCATCCGGAGAAAGACTTTTTTTCGCTATGTCTTTGTTCCTGAGTTTTTCGCTGATGTTGGGGACTATAGCAAACGAATTGCCAATCGCGTCTAACGAAACTTGTTACTTTGCGCTCTTTGTTCAAATAATGTTCTGGTTTGGTGGCGTGCAATGTTGTTCAAGTGCTGTAAAGATTCCTTTCGGTCTAAGACCATTGAATTACCCATTACCTAAATTGGTCCTACGTGCAACGGGCTTGTCTAAACGGAAATAAAAAAGTAAGCATTGCTACAGATGGGGATGTGCCAGCAAAAGAAACCGACAATTCACATGCGAATGGGATTCCGGACCTGACATGGTCGGATGTTCTCCATCAAATGAATCTTATAATGGTTGTCATGTTTGAGTCTTTTACAGTTCTCGTGATCACTAGCGTTGTACTCTTAATAATTATATGATACAGGTAAAGAGATAATGAGTGGTTATCGTCATTTATAAACGGTTAGATATTCATTTTATAACTAATAAAAAAATCATTATAAAATCTGAATAGCTCTTATAGTTGTGTACTTTCTGCTAATTAAAACATTTGAAATTTTGCAAAACTGCTGTGTTAACAACGTCAAATTTTTTTTTATTAAAATAGGATCGACCGAACACTAATTCATATCATTATCGTTCGTAGAGTGTAAACAATGTCTTTGCTCATGCAATTTTAAATTCAGTTTAATTCAAATTTATTTATTTCGCTCTGTCACGCGTATAGCATGAAACAAGGGGCCATTTTTTAAACACAAATTTTGAAACATGGCTGGCGAATTAGGTTTTGGCTCATTAAATAATTATACGTCAATTGTATTCAGAAATCATATCAAAACGGCGGGTTAAAATGAGGCCCCGAATAGTCACGTGATGAATTTTCCGATCATATCAACGATGAGTGGTAGACGTAACAGCAAGTGTCGACAAACTTTAGTTTGAAGCTGATAATCTTTATCAATTTCTCTCAGTGTTATAATTTTGTGAAGAGTCTAATCTTAAGTATTACAATGCTTGCCCGAAATCAAACGCATGGGAAAAAACGAAATCTAAGCATTTAGTCCAATTAAGGCACCGTTTCATTTGTCAATTATATTACCAATATATTATACGTAGAGATGATTGGTATATATAAAGGTTGGCGTGTTAATTAAAGCTATTTTGATATTATTTAGTTGTTTTCTTTAAATCACAGTAAATGCAGGTAAAACTGTGTTTATAGAGTGTTTGCTTTGTTATAATACAGTACATGTATTATCTACATTCTTTATTGAAATATAAGTACAGTATAGGTATAAATTTGATGTACAATCTACACTCTTTATTGAAGTATAAGTACAGTATAGGTATAAATTTGATGTACAATCTACACTCTTTATTGATGTATAAGCACAGTATAGGTATAAATTTGATGTACAATCTACACTCTTTATTGATGTATAAGTACAGTATAGGTATAAATTTGATGTACAATCTACACTCTTTATTGAAATATAACTACAGTATAGGTATAAATTTGATGTACAATCTACACTCTTTATTGAAATATAAGTACAGTATAGGTATAAATTTGATGTACAATCTACACTCTTTATTGATGTATAAGCACAGTATAGGTATAAATTTGATGTACAATCTACACTCTTTATTGATGTATAAGTACAGTATAGGTATAAATTTGATGTACAATCTACACTCTTTATTGAAATATAACTACAGTATAGGTATAAATTTGATGTACAATCTACACTCTTTATTGATGTATAAGTACAGTATAGGTATAAATTTGATGTACAATCTACACTCTTTATTGATGTATAAGTACAGTATAGGTATAAATTTGATGTACAATCTACACTCTTTATTGATGTATAAGCACAGTATAGTTATAAATTTGATGTACAATCTACACTCTTTATTGAAATATAACTACAGTATAGGTATAAATTTGATGTACAATCTACACTCTTTATTGATGTATAAGTACAGTATAGGTATAAATTTGATGTACAATCTACACTCTTTATTGATGTATAAGTACAGTATAGGTATAAATTTGATGTACAATCTACACTCTTTATTGATGTATAAGTACAGTATAGGTATAAATTTGATGTACAATCTACACTCTTTATTGAAATATAACTACAGTATAGGTATAAATTTGATGTACAATCTACACTCTTTATTGATGTATAAGTACAGTATAGGTATAAATTTGTTGTACAATCTACACTCTTTATTGATGTAGTATAAGTACAGTATAGGTATAAATTTGATGTACAATCTACACTCTTTATTGAAATATAACTACAGTATAAGTACAGTATAGGTATAAATTTGATGTACAATCTACACTCTTTATTGATGTATAAGTACAGTATAGGTATAAATTTGATGTACAATCTACACTCTTTATTGAAGTATAAGTACATAGGTATAGGTATAAATTTGATGTACAATCTACACTCTTTATTGATGTATAAGTACAGTATAGGTATAAATTTGATGTACAATCTACACTCTTTATTGAAGTATAAGTACAGTATAGGTATAAATTTGATGTACAATCTACACTCTTTATTGAAGTATAAGTACTTTACAGGTATAAATTTCATAAAATCATTAAATGTAAAAATGTATTAACGTGAAGCAATGGGTAAGCTGAATGATTGTACAACTATGATACGTTCAGCTATTAAGATGATATATGTTGATGGGGTTTCCTTTGTTAGTCATCAAAAGCTTTGATTTACATGTAAAGTAATAGTTTTGCAGTCAATGTTCATATTGCATGCCTCATCTAAAGGCACAGCCACCTGTTTGCAAATCGAGTGCGGTCTGG